TTTTTTTTTTTTTTTTTTTTTCCGGCAATGCTGCACAGCTTGTGGGATCTTAGTTCCCGACCAAGGATGGAACCCATGCCCCCTGCAGTGGGAGTGCAGAGTCCTAACCACTGGACTGCCAGGGAATTCCCCACCTATATTTTTTAATCTCAGTATGTTGCTCTTTCTCTCACATCGTTTCATTCTTTTTCTAAATTCACACTACCTTTCTTCTCAGTTTCTACAACCTATGATTGTCTTCTCTAACCCAAAAGAGAAACTCCCCTCTCTCTCCTAACCAGAAGCCACCATCCCATCTCTTCCCACCCATGTCCCCCAAGCCTGTCCTAAGAGTCATCTCTACTTGCTACCACTGCTTCCTTACTACTCCTTAACCATTTGTGGTCTGGCTTCCGTGACAGAAAGAGGAGGCAAGTCATTAAAATCATAAACTTCGGCTTCAAGCACGACCTGGTCAAAGCCTGCATTCACACTCACTTTCTCTGAGGGCTTGGACGAGTCATTTGACCTCTCTCAGCCTCACTTTTTAAACTTGAAACAGGATTAAGAGGGGCATTGTGACAATTAAAAGTGATCGAGCCTTTTTAAAAAGAGATGAAGTCTCTTTTAGTCTCATGCAGTGCCTAATAAATAATATCCTTAAAAAAAGAAAAACCCCAGCCTCTTGGCATTCAACTGAAGCTGCTCTCAAAAGTCACTAACAACTGTCAATCGCCAAATAAAGTAACTATTTCTCATTTCTCACCCCTCTAAATCACTTAAGTATTTAGCCAGTTATTTTGTTGCATAACTGAATTGAATGTTCAATTATAGTTGGTCTGATATTTTCTCTTCATTAGATTGAGTTTGTATGTTTTTGGCAAGCACACCACAGACATGATGCTCTGCCCTTATTCATGCAGCACTGCAGGAGGTGCGTGATGTTGAGATCTCATTACAGGGGATGTTAACCTCTATCACTTGGATAAGGTGGTATCTTCCAGGTTTCTCAACCTGAAGTCACTGTTTCTCCCATTTGGAATTAAGAAGTATCTTTTAGGGAGATGCTTTCAGACTAGGCAGATACCTTGTATCTTTTTTTTTGTCCACTAATTTAGGATCCATCCATTGATGGGTCCATTCTTGCTGCAGTAATTATTGCTATGATATTTGCATTATAGCGATTTTCTATTTCCCTCTTCCTTCTACATTTATTAATTGGAATTCTACTGTAAGGAAGAGCTGTCCCTTCTCCTCAATGTGTTCATTTACTTATAGCACCAGGGGTTCCTGGATATTTATTTTATTCTGTGATCTATAACTCATTGCCGGAATTTTCTTTTTTTGCTCAAATTGCCCCAGATTTGGCCACTGGGAGCTTCTTCACGTTGGTTCCTGTGTCCTTTCAAGCCCCACCCCCATCATTTCATGAGTGCTTCTGTACTTTCTGGCACCACAAGATGTTCCAAACTCATCTTTTGCTATTACTGTCCCAGCCCTGGAATCAACCATTTCCCCAAGAAGCCAAGGGTTCTTTTAATTCATTCCTTTAGTTTTTAAAAAATACACAGTTCTGCACATGAAAATTCTCAGTGACTCTCCATTACTTATGAAAATTCAGACCACTAGCCTGGCATTCAAAATATCCATGCTCTTGTCCCAAAAGACCCTCTAAACGTTGTAGTTTGAACTCCCCCTTAATGTATTTTACCCTTCAAAAACTAGAATTAATCATTTCCTATCCCAGCCAGTTGAGATAGCCCTTTTCTTAGTCCATTTGGGCTGCTGTAATAAAATACCATAGACTGAGTATCTTATAAACATTTCCTTCTTACAGTTCTGGAAGCTAAGTCCCCACAGCATGGCGCCAGCAGATTCGGTGTCTGGTGAGAGCTTCCTGGTTTACAGACAGTGCCTTCTCGCTGTGCCGTCACACGGTGGAAGGGGGCAAGCAAGCTCTCTGGGGCCTCTGTATAAGGATACTAATCCCATTCATGAGGGCTCTGCCCTCATGACCCAATCACTTTCCAAAGGCACCACCTCCTAATTACCTCAGGGGTTAGAATTCCAACGAATAATGGTGGGAGAACACAAACATTCAGACCATTGCACCTTTCCCTCTGAATCTGTTCCTGCTTCTGGCTGGAAATTCTCTGAAATTTTATTGCACTTTTGCTTTCCGTCTGACATTTATTATATTACACCTTTGTTGGACACGTTTTTGTTGTATTGGTCGCATCGCCCCTATCTTGTTCAAAACTTTGAGAGCAGAATCTATATTTTACTCTCTTATTTACCTTTTAATCCTATCGTGTACCTTGTACATGGTAGGCATTCAGTAAACATTTGTTATATGGATGGCCGGGTGAAACTAAAGCTGGAGAGAACCAGATACAGAACTTAGGCTTCAAGTGCTCTAACTACCACTGGAAAATAACCTGCCCACCTGCCAGAAAAGGCTGTTCATCTATTGAGACTTGTAGCTGGGGACCTTCTGGTACATTGACCTTAGTCAGCCTTCTCTTTCAGCCTAAACTTGTAACCAGCACTGCAACTGTAAAAACTGCTGTTGGAACATAGTCTAGCATTAAGTTCCAAGTACCTCTAGCCATTTTGGCCAGATGGTTGAGATTCCGCCCTCCCACTGGAAGAGAGCAGTGGCCTTTGCCAAAGCATGGTGGTCAGATGTGTGAGTCATGAGATGAGATGTTTTGCCTCCTTGGAAGACCAAAAAATTTGAGCTTCAAAATTTTTTTCTTCCCTTTCATGATTTCAAAGACAGTTTTTTGTGCCAACGCAGCTTACAAGTCTTTCAAATTTGGGTCTAAAAAGAACTATTTGAGGACAAGGGAGAGTGTACCTCAGGAAAACAAAGCTGGAGCTGGGAGTTTTGGTGTTTTGTTTTTGGGTTTTGTTTTTTTTTTTTTTGGTTTCTTTTGATGTGAAAACAAAAGCCTGACGTTATGCAAAGAGGTTCTCCCCAGAGGGGCATCTACCAGAGTTGTAGCTCAGTGAAGATCTAGCCTGAGTAGGAGAGTATCTTCTAAATTTTCTCAGGGATTGGTCCAAGGAATAGGAGAGGATGAATCTTAGTAGTCCCGACCTATGCAGTGGGCTGATGTGACTAGATTGGGAATACAGCCACAGTCTTTTTCACATAGGTTTCTCTGTCCCCTCCCGTAGGTGGATCACTTGGATAAGAATGGGCAGTGTGCCTTGGTCCACGCTGCACTCCGAGGTCATCTGGAGGTTGTCAAGTTTTTGATTCAGTGTGACTGGACAATGGCGGGCCAGCAGCAAGGGGTGTTTAAGAAGAGCCATGCCATCCAGCAGGCCCTCATCGCTGCAGCCAGCATGGGTTATACTGAGGTAAGAAAGCGGATAAGGTTTGGGGGGTTTTTTCAAGCTATGTATTGAAGGACCTAGGAAACCAGGAAAAAGAGGTTGCATTATTATAAAATTGCCAGCCTAGGGCTTCCCTGGTGGCGCAGTGGTTAGGAATCCACCTGCCAATGCAGGGGACACGGGTTCAAGCCCTGGTCCGGGAAGATTCCACATGCCGCGGAGCAACTAAGCCCGTGTGCCACAGCTACTGAGCCTGCACTCTAGAGCCTGCGAGCCACAACTACTGAGCCCGCATGCTGCAACTACTGAAGCCCACGCTCCTGGAGCCTGTGCTCCGCAACAAGAGAAGCCACCACAATGAGAAGCCCGCTCGCTGCAACTAGAGAAAGCCCGCGCACAGCAACAAAGACCCAACGCAGCCAAAAATAAATTAAAAAAAAAAATTTGTTAGCCTAATTAATGTGAATTAGGTTTTTGGTCATTGATCTGAGGAGTAGGGAGATTCCAGGGTACCTAGAATTATGTTGGAAAGGACCTCGGGAATTATCTAATCTGATTCCTCCCCATCTTTCCACCCCTACTTAACAGACAATGACACTCGGCTCAGGTGGATTATTTTTTGACCTGTGTTCACATGGGTAGACAGAGTGGCATGGAAAGGGCACAACAGTTGGAATCTCAGAAGGACCAGGTTTGAGGCCCAGCTTTCCTACTCATTAGCTCTGGACCTTGGGCAATATACCTAATCTCTTAGAACCTTAGTTTCCCACCAGTAAAGCGAGGCTAATAAATTCTTTTTTGCAAGGTTGATATGAGATGTAAACTGTTAATCACTGTGCAAATGGTATTTTTGCTAATTTATTTATTAATGAAAGTAATAATACAGTGGAAAAATATGTGGAATTGGTAGTGTTCTAGGAAATGTGTAACAGCCAGCTCTGGGGAGGGGAGTGGAGTGGAACAGAAGTGTGTGTGTGTGTGTGTACGTGTGTACGTGTGTACATACAGACTTAAATTTATTATAAATTTTACTGATATTTTAAAAAATGTTGCACACAGTTTACAAATAATAATGAATTGTGTAATACTCTTAACTGAATGCTTTTGTTGATTTTTGATAAACGTATATCCGTACCCAACCTGTGGTTACAACTCAACCATGATTTGATAAATGAAGTTGCACCCCTATTTGCTCTTTTCCCAATAATTTTGTCATTAAATCTGATGTGCGATTTACTGTTAAATTACTTCTCATCCTCATACAAATGATATTCATTAAACTGGAACCCCTTTTAGCTTTAGCAGTAAATCAAATCCTCATTTACAAAGTTTGCCAATTTCCAGGGTATAAGTACCCCCACCGTGGCTGATTTCAAGCTGCCAATGTGACATCACCGAACACAAAGTTTCAAAGAGATGCACAGGAGCACACCATTATATAAAATGTCCACCATACACATACAGTAAATATAAATAACCTGAAGAGCATAGATAATAGTAAAATGTAATTAAATAATTAAGAAGTTATAACATTTGATATTTTAACCTTTTTTATTTTAATTTCTTTAATTGTTATTTAATTTTTAATAAACATCTTTGTTTACTGACTGGCTTGCAAAATTCCGAAAATTTAACAGTCCGCTTTCATGGGCCAGTACACGTTGGCTCGCCACTGCTTGAGATGCTTCAGTGACACAGCTACCCCATCCGCTGACCTGACGTATCACCAAGGGAATATTAAGTAAAATTGGAATTTTTATTATCTACAGAAGGTTTTTTAGCTCTCTCTACAGTGAAATTCCTGGAAACAGAGCTGTCACTTTCCTTTGGTGTTAGCAGCCATTCTCCTTTTATTATCCGCAAACAGTCCTTGTAATTCCAAGAGGAAAAAAGAAGATAATAGCTCCGCTCTGAAAAACTACAGGCCCTCCGTTTTCTCCATATTTATTTTCTGGGTTTTGTTTATTGATTTTTTTCCTGTTTATTTCTTGGTAGCATTTTTATTAGGAGGACGAGGGTTTGCTTTTTTAACTCAAATGTGATAAATATGTGATTTTTAAAAGTCACATGCTATGTAAGTTAATTGTGTTCAAGGGAAACATGTAAACTGTACCTGGTAGAACAAATGCTCATCATGGCAGCTTTGGGTTTTTAGGCGAGGACAGTCAGTTCTGATGCCTTTTGTGTGCAAGAGAGAGCGTGACCCTTGGGTATCCGGGTATCTTCCAGACCTCACAGGCTAGTATCAGTACAGTTTTCCACCTGACCTTTGAGCTGACACAGCTTCTTGTTTCAGATTGTCTCCTACCTACTTGATCTTCCAGAAAAAGATGAGGAAGAGGTGGAACGAGCACAGATCAACAGCTTTGACAGTCTCTGGGGAGAGACAGGTACCTCCTGTGGACATCTCTCTCTTCTCTGTGAACGTGTCATGTCTGTGTGGAGATATTCTCTGCATCTCACACCCTGATTTTTTTCTCTGCCAGACCAAAGGTGGCCGTCTCTGTCTTATGGCTATTGTGTTGGAGACTGATTCAGCCAAAGGAAAAGTCACAAGTTTCCTCCTTTCAATCCTCTTTCCCTTTGGGTGCTCCATGCCGTTAGCCCCAGAGTCTTCTTTCAGACAAACCTTCCCCCGCTCTTGTTTCCAAATATTTTAAACAACTGGAAGTTTCCTTACAATGTGCCAAACCATAGCAGAAAAGAGTTGTGAACTTTTTTTCCCTGTGATCCTTATAGCAGTTAGGAGTAAGTATTTCTCCCGTAGCTATAAACCAAGAAGTTAAATTTTTATCGACACCTCTGGCTTACTGCACCAAGTGTTAGCGTGGTGGAGTGGTCCTGACATGATTAAACTGATACGTCATGAGTACAGTTGCTATCAGGATGCAAAATGTAGGTCCCCCCTGTAGGGCACAGCCCTGCGTAGTCTCTCACGATCTGCAGCAAAGCCATTTCTATATTGCTTGGTACTTACTCCACAAACAGAAGCCTCTTCCTTGTGGCCTTTGCAGGAAATGATTGTTGTCTTTCCCCCAAGTCTAAACTGGAACATCTGGAAAAACATTAGTAACCTTTTATGTGTTTATGAAACCAGGGCAGTAAAAACTGTAGAGTCGCCACAGATATGTGTCGTGTTTGCCAGGATAAGTAGACCAACATTGATGGCCGATTTTAGGGAGAGCGTTTTACTAAACAAGAAGGGGGTATGCTTTGGTTAGGGTCAGAATGTTATTAAAAATGAGAAGAGGCTTGAATTCACTTAAAATGTATAATCACCTATTGAACTGTGATGTCTCCACACATGGCAGTAATCTTATATAGGTTTCATGGCTTCTTTAACATCATGTAGAATGGTCCAGAGCTCAGGAATTTGCTTCTCAAACAATCCCTCCCTCTGTCAGAGCCAAAGGGAGCAGATGCCGGGCAGCTGCAGCTTAAGAGCCCATGACAGATTAAAGGAAAATGTGCAGCTGGCAACAGCTGCTGTCTCTGGGGCCCCACCCTGAGGGAAGCCAGAGGACAGACTGAGGGGAAGGGGCTGGCCAGGTCGCCAGCAGTTGTGGAGTGTGCGTCCTGAGACCTGGAGCTGCAGGAGAGACATGAGGGTTCACATCCCGTCAGCACAGCCTCCCCGGCACAGCCCCTCCGTCCCTCCCAGAGTCTCCTGTTGCCAGGCCACCCGCGTGCAACCCTAACCCTGACTGGGGAGCGCAACAAAAAGTAGTGGCCCGATGGCGACAGTGGACAGAAATTACAAGACTAACCATCATAGTGATGACTATCACACACGTCCTAGTGCTGTCCTTGAAAGAATTCCTTAAAAATGTTGAAGAAGGGTGTGAACTAAGTGGAAGACTTACTTTTATTGAGATGAATTTCTTATTAGAATAAAACTTTACAGCCTCAGGACTTTTAAAAGATTTCCTGCTTTAAAGTGTGCGATAAAGTTTGTTACATTCATTTTCTTACCTACATACCGTATCTCAAGATTGTAAAAGAAAATCAAAGTTTCATGTCAGTTTGCTTGTAGTCAGAATTGTGTTGTGTTTAATTTTATATTTATATGGACTCATTTCAGCACTATGAACATAAGACATTATTTAAATATGAGTTAGAATGAAATACATTTGTAATATAATTTATAGAGCTATAAAAAGTTATTTGACTTCAGAAAAATTTCTGGGAAATCATGTCTTTGCTATGTTAAAAAATGTCCCTACCACTCACCACTAGTGTAGAGTAGACTCTGAGTTGCTCTTCTGTCTATAGTGATGGACTTACCAAGTACACGTTTCTTTTTAACTTACAGCACATAATCATTTAAAATTTATAATGACTCATTGAATTGTGATGTTTCCTCCAATGGCAGCATCTTATACAGGTTTCCCTTGCATAGAGAATGAAGGTCTGTGACCTGCAGCCAGCTGGTTAGGGTCTCGTATCTGCAACCCTGGCCTAAACAACCCAATTTTTACTTAGGGAAAATACGATGGTAATGATGTTTCCAACAATTTGTATCATTTACTGTATTAAATCCAAAACACCAGTAACTATAAGAAACGATAGAACCATTATCTTATGTGCCATTCCAAAAAAAACCAGAAAGAAAAACCCTCTGCCTATAAAACTGACACAGTTCTTTATTATCACATCGATTATAAGATGCAGCCTGACTTTGAGATGTTAAAAATGTGGAGGGAAGAAAGTACATCTTAGAATCAATGAAATGCATCTTAGCATATAGTGAAATATTTATGGAGATGTAATTTTTACATATCAGATTTTCTAAAAGCAGGTCACTGGAATATCCTGGTTGTCTTCGTCCTCCTTTTATGGCCTTTTTGTCCTTCCAAAGAGCACCTTCCTACATCGAGCTTTCACCGTCTGGCTGACCCCCTCCCATCCTGCAGGGTTTTCACAGATTTCTTATGGAACACAGAAATCTGTATTCCAACACAGAAGAAAGGCAATTAAGATGACAAGATTCACCAATCCCTCCTCTCCTTTGTCTTACAGCTGTAGAACAGAACCAGCATTAAAAGCTTCTGGCAACTCTGGAGAGCCTGAGCCATCCATGGCCCAAAAGTAGCGAAAATTCAGAACATAAACAAGATACCATTAATTCATGCCTTCATCATCTTTTGTCTAGATTATTGCAACTACTTCCTAGCTGATCTTCTTGTCTCTGGCCTCACCCTTTTGTGATTTATCTCCCAGACTTCAGCCAAAGTGATCTCTCTAAGCCACAATCTGTCCATGTCACTTTCCTGCTTACCACCCTTCATTGACCACCTGTAACATTAATGTAGCATAAAAAGGGACTTCCCTGGTGGTGCAGTGGTTACGACTCCACGCTCCCAATGCAGGGGGCACAGGTTCGATCCCTGGTCGGGGAACTAAGATCCCACATGCTGTGTGATGCGGCCAAAAAAAAAAAAAAGGTAGCATAAAAAGATGTGTCGTGATCTCTAGCATCATCTGTTGCCTGTCTTCTCCAGTAGGAGTAAATGTGCCGTTCCCCACCTCAGTGCCTTTATACGTGCTCTCCCTGTGCCTAGAATGCCTCCCTGTCGTCGTTGCCTATAAGTCTCCTATTTCTCTTTCAGCATCTTGTTTAGATTGTCATCTCTTCCTGGAGACCTTCTCAGACACTTCTTCCTCTGTGCCACCTCCAGACAACCCCCGTGGACTTATCTCTGTTGTGCTTATCACACTGTATAGTAATGTATTTGTTTGTCTGTTATCCTTATTCAACCCTGAGTTCCTTGAGAGCTGACAGTATCTGACAAAATAGCTCTATAAATGTGTAACTAATTAATGTTGTTTTGGATAGCAGTGATCAGTATATGTCTTCCCCACCCACCTCCATCCCATCGGTCTTCATGACCTGTCTGTGCTGTACACTGTCAAGGTTGAGAAGAGATAAAAGAACCATTTGCTTCTCTGCATTCTATTCAGCATCAGCATCCCATCGAAGCCGACTTTGGCTATTCCATCAACTCAGCTGTATCCTATCTGTTTCTTCAAACTCCTTAGCTGTTTCCCTTTGAAAAAGGACCATTTATTTCAAATAATCTCATCAGATGCTGACACGCTAGGGAACGAATTCTGTTACTGGTCTCTTAGGAAGAGAGATTTGGCTCCAAACTGTTAACATTTGCTCTAAGAATCAGGTTGTTGTTTTACAGAACTGGCTTTGCCTTATTCGTCTCACTTTCAAAAAGTTTTAACGGTTTTTGATAAGAACTATATAAAATCCAGCCAAAGCAACTCCTTGCTCTTGGATTTTGAAAAGTACAGACCCAATTTTCCATAGTTGTGTTGTTCTGAGATGAAGTTGGCCAGCTGTGTTAATGACTGTGTCCAGATATCAGCTGGAGATTCCTGCCAAATTACGTCATAACCTAAGTAACAGAGATGATACAACAAAGAAAAAGGCCAAATGGAACATTCCCTCTCATATAAACATGTTGTCCGGTGGGTTGAGATGGGCCAGCCCCCAGCAACATGACTCCAGGTTAGAGCAGACAGTATATAAGTTCAGCTTTCAGGATGGGCACTGCTTGTGAATTTTTATCTGTGTTCTGTGAACTAGCATCATTGACGAGAGGCTTGATTCTGAAATACTGTCTGTATTTTCTCCAGAGTGCTATAAATTCTTGCGTGAAAAAGAATGTATCTGCACACACACACACACACACCACGCCATACACAAGACATTGAAAGGGAGGCTTGCTGCGTCCCTGCCCCCTGGTAGCTACTTTAAACTTGGGAGAGCTAGAAATTTTCCAAACCCTTTGTTTTATGTACCAACGAGGTGATTCTTATGGTTCCTAACAAGTGTCTAACCCAGTCAAGTTCTTTCTTTTTCCCCAGCTTGACTGAGATATAACTGACATACAACATTGTGTAAGTTTAATGTATACAATGTGATGATTGCCAGTCAAATTCTTAAGCTACTCTTGTGTTCTGACCCAAGAACTAAAGTTGTTTTTTTTTTTTCCTGAACTATTAGAAATGTGAACTTGGAAAAGAGGGAACATCACTTTGATTTAAAGAACAAGAGACAAACTTCTCAGTCAAGTAAACAATCAAACCCATCAATACTTGTAACTTATCCATTCGGAACTTGGAAATGACCCTCACCTCAGATAGGATGAAGCCTCTGCCCTTCTGTGAGAACAGGATGGAAATGCCTATGTTAAGAATTCCAAAAAATAAAATGAAAAATACACATAAGACAAGGCCTAGATACATCTAGTTTAAGATCTTCTAAAATTGCCACATTTTCCTTCATAAGCCCTTTCTATCCTTGAAGAAGGAAAAGATTACTTTGAAGGTTTATCTCAGTGGAAATTACAGGTAGTTTTAGTTTTGCATATGAGTCAGTCGTGGGTAAATTTGGCCAAGCTCAAAGACAAAATGCCTTAATTTGCACTTAAATGAAAAAAATCACAAGTGACCATTTGATTTGATTTTCAGTTGCTTCCCTGATTAGATACCAACACTTGCAAACTGAAATATCTGCACCTGCCGTGTATTATCTTCCTCTGATTTGTCATTGGAGTAGGTGGCCACAGCAAAGGAAGGACCTGCTGACTACCACATCTGTTTTTCAAGTCTGTGTGGGGAAAAAGGTCTCCATACTCTTTCTTTAAAAGCATAACTCCTGCCATTTTCTAACAGTGTTTACCATCTTCCCTACCCTCATCCATTTAAAACACTGAGTGTACACACTTGAGATCCCTGGTTAAGAAACAAATACATATTTGTTCAAATATGAACTTAGTAGAAAGTATATTGACAAATTCCTCTTACTGCTATTGAAACAGTACTCAAAGGATGAAATAAGCACTCTTAGTATCCTCTGTATCAGAGACCATAAACAATGGACAGTAGCACAGAAGGAAGAATGTTTATGTTTCTTCCTGCTGTGTGTCCTTTATCCTCGCTATAGCTGTGCTTTATCTGTGACTCCATTATCCTGTATTCAGAAGAAAAGAGCCTTTGTCACACTCCTCTCATCTTTAAGACTATTACTTTGAACAGTTTTGACCCTCCTATGAAAATGGTCACACATGTACTAGAAACTTCTGTCCCAACTGATGAAAAAAAAAGAAAACTGGCCCAAGGCTCTTAGACTGCAATTTCTTTTTTTTCTTTTTTTTTTTTTTTTACATTTTTTAATATATTTTTATTGTAAATACTCCCTTAAAAGCAATCCAGGAAACTGTCATTTAAGAAATCAACAAAATTAAGACTGCAGTTTCTGACTGGTTCTCTGAGTTTAAGGGCCCAGGAGTAGAAATTGGCCAGAGGTGGTTCCTAGCTAACTCTAAAAGACTGTAGTCTGCAAAGACCCTTCTCTCTGCATTCTTACCCATGCACATACCAGTAAAAGGTTTGTAGCTGGGACGAGGTACCAAAAAAGAGAGGGATTAAAAGCAGAGAAGATAGTCTGGGTAGGAAACATGAAACCAAGTAAGTTTGGTCAAAAGTGATTTTTTCAATAAAATTATTATAACTGTCTCCGTATATGTAAGCCCTTTTATTTTTCTTTGAAAATTTCCTTCATGGCAGAAGTAGCCAGAATCATCATTCTTGGAGGTAAAGTAGCAATTACATTCATCAAACACAGGTGTGCTGCCCTGCTTACCCTCGAGGGCTGGAGAAGGCAAGACCCCCTGTGCTCATTCTGTGCTCTCTGCCCTTAGCCCTGACAGCTGCAGCCGGAAGGGGCAAACTGGAGGTGTGTCGTCTACTCCTGGAACAGGGGGCAGCAGTGGCCCAGCCAAACCGCCGAGGGGCAGTGCCCTTATTCAGCACCGTTCGCCAAGGCCACTGGCAGGTAAGCACATAGCTACTTCCAGTGCCCCAGGCAGGGGTGAGTTCTGGGTGGGAACTTTTCTTTTTTTTTTAACATCTTTATTGGAGTATAATTGCTTTACAATGGTGTGTTAGTTTCTGCTTTATAACAAAGTGAATCAGTTATACATATACATATATCCCCATATCTCCTCCCTCTTGCATCTCCCTCCCTCCCACCCTCCCTATCCCACCCCTCTAGGTGGTCACAAACGACCTAGCTGATCTCCCTGTGCTGTGCGCCTGCTTCCCACTAGCTATCTATTTTACGTTTGGTAGTGTATATATGTCCATGCCACTCTCTCACTTTGTCACAGCTTACCCTTCCCCCTCCCCATATCCTCAAGTCCATGCTCTAGTAGGTCTGTGTCTTTATTCCCATCTTACCCCTAGGTTCTTCATGACCTTCTTTTTTTTTAACTTAGATTCCATATATATGTGTTAGCATACAGTATTTGTTTTTCTCTTTCTGACTTACTTCACTCTGTATGACAGACTCTAGGTCCATCTACCTCACTACAAATAACTCAATTTTGTTCCTTTTTATGGCTGAGTAATATTCCATTGTATATATATGCCACATCATCTTTATCCATTCATCTGTTGATGGACACTTAGGTTGCTTCCATGTCCTGGCTATTGTAAATAGAGCTGCAATGAACATTTTGGTACATGACTCTTTTTGAATTATGGTTTTCTCAGGGTATATGCCCAGTACTGGGATTGCTGGGTCATATGGTAGTTCTATTTTTAGTTTTTTAAGGAACCTCCATGCTGTTCTCCATAGTGGCTGTATCAGTTTACATTCCTGGGTGGGAACTTCTCAAGCAGAAAGCAAAAAAATCACAAAATTTGGGTTATCCAGCAGTCACTGGGTTTGAAGACTTGGGCCTCTGTTATTAATGTTCTGGTTAATTGAAAATACATCCGAAAATTAACATTCATACATTCTATATAATACAGATCATACCTGATGATCTGTATCACATAGAAGGACTAGCTACTTTTGGCCTGGTGGTGCAGCGACCTCCTTCTCACACTTCACAACATCCCCAGGGTCTCTGGAAGGTTCAAACCTCAACAGATCCCTGCTAACCACTTACAGCAGGTGTGCCTCAGACTTGCAAAAAGAAAATGTGGTATTTGTAAATTCTAGTTATGTGATCTTTCCAGATGTTTGGATTCTGGATAAACGCTAATTTATATATTTAGGATGGAAAAAAAAGTCTATTGGTTATAATCTTTGAAAATGTTTAAGTAGGAGAAACGTCCTAGGAGCCAAACAGTGCTGAAGAGTTATCGGAGGCTGTATTCTGTAGTTACTGTCTTCTGTTCAGTTGTAAATATTCACTGCAGGCAGGTTTGCAGCCCCTGGAGGCCAGTAAAATGGCACTGACATAGGTGTTGGCGCTTCCATCATGGGGTTGTTTAGTCTACATCTTGGCCTTTGTCATCTTGAATTCTTTTTTACTGAGTGGCTGAGTCGGACGTTTAGAGTTGAGTTCTTCTCATTTGGCTGTCCCTGAGACAGTCAGAGATCGAATCCCATGGTACTAGACCACGCAGGGGGTTCTTGCAGTGGAAAGTTTCTTTAGAGGTGACTAGCGGGGAGTTCTCACGGTGTGGGGGAGGGCGTGCGTGTGTCTGCTCAGCAGCGCTTCCTGGCTGATTGGGCCCTGCTTCTCTGCACCTGCAGATTGTTGATCTTTTACTCACCCACGGAGCTGATGTCAACATGGCGGACAAGCAGGGCCGCACTCCCCTGATGATGGCAGCCTCCGAAGGCCACCTGGGAACTGTGGACTTTCTCCTTGCTCAAGGTCAGTCCTGCAGTGCCAGAGCTTGATGACCAGTGCCCATAACAACCCCAGGAACTCATGATTTCCAGGGATGGATTCCAAGAGGAGTTGAGAACGGATATTCTTAAGCCAGTTGGTGAGAAAATGAAAGTCCGTCTCCTCTCTTCTCATATACAGTGGGACCCTTCTAATTCTGACATTCTCTATTGCTTTATGGCTTGAGGGGTTTTTGGTATCCTAATCAAATTTACATAATCTAAGCTCTTTAATCTCCCAACTTTGATTTTTTTTTAACGTACACTCAATAAATGTTCATCTTCCAGGGATCGTATTTTGACTTGATCAATTGTTTTGTAAGCCTGCACAACTAATATTTTTCTTGTATCCTAAGGAGGCAAATGGAAGTTGAAATGATTGTTGACCATGGGACCCTATTTGAGGAATCAGGGTATTATTACCCTCCTATTGTAATAAATTCCTTTTGACATTTACCAACATTCATATATTCCTGGTGAATGGGAAATAAGTTAAAGGAGTTTGTGGTCATACTATCCAAAGCATTCCCTTCAATGGCTCCGACCTCAGTCATCTATACAGAATAGTAGTGAGTGACAGGGGAACGAACCTCTGTAGTAGAAAAGCTCCAGTCACTGGTGACTCTGCAGTACCATCTAGTGGAGCTCGAGCATTTGCATCAAGCAGGAGGTGGTGTGACTGTGACCAGCTTTTACTCCATTCCAGCAAGCCTCCCCTATGAGTAAACGGGATCTTCTCATCGATAATTAATACCCACAGGTGCACACACTTCAAGAAAAACAAGCCCCTGCACATCATGCCCAGGCTGGAGCAGCTGAAGGGTAGTTGATTTAGGAAGAAGACAAGGTTTCTTCTTCTAAGATTTCAAACTACAACTCAGTCAGAGACTTACTGGATCTTTAGCTCTCTCCTGCAAAGATTTGTTTCCACAACCTTAGACTCACAAAACTGGGTCAGAATCAGAGAACTGTTTTCCCCGTGTACAGAGTGGTTCTTGCTTCCCCAATACAAGCCACCAAACAAACCTGTTTTCATGGTTTCTATCCTTCTGCTAAGAGGGGGCTGGAGGAGCAAGGGAGATACGCCTAGCTCCTCAGGATAAAACGTGGCAGGAGTAAATGTCCCAGAACAACCTGAGTCTACTGGAAAAGGCAGGACCCCTTCACCACAGATAATCTGTAGATGACTGCACACAGTCTGCCGTGAGCCCGTGGAAGCTCATCAGACACAGATCCCAGACATGTGTTCCCTTTACGCTGCAGGCATTCTGGTCCCGGTCTTCTTACCGTTTCATTCTTTCACACTTAAATCAGAGAGTTTCTCTCAATCAACAAATCCTACTATGCTAGGAACTGAGTGATTTTTTAAAATAAATACACTACAATCCATGTCTTCAAAGGGTCTATAATCTGGCAAGGAGGGGATAAAACAAAGATAAGGAACTACCTTAAAAAGCAGAGAATCCTAAGTACTCTGATGATAAAGGTATTTGAGTTAGAACAGGACAGACTTTGAAATTTGAATGGGAAAAATGTTCTATATTCAGGGAGAGGACGTAATGTAAATGAAAGGTCAGAGAGGAGAAACAGTACACAACAGGTTTGGGGAAATATGCAAGTTGTCCAGTGAGGTACATGAGGACTGTTGGGAAATAAAATTGGAAATGTATGTGGAAAGGAATTGAAAAGGAGCAGATTCAAAGAGTTTGGACTTATCTGAAGGCAGTAGGGAGCCTTTCAAGATTTTTAAAAAGAGAATCAGTGCCAGAGTTGCGCTTTAAAAAAAAAAAAGAAAAATCACTTTGGCAGTAGTGTGAATAGTAGAGTTGATGAAGGGATTATAGTGGACCTGGGGATCAATTAGGAAGCCATTGTCATTGAGTAGATGAGAGGTAATGCCGAATCCAGGTGCAGTAGCTGTTAGAACAAGAGGGCCAAGTGCAAAAAAGATTTTGGATATAAGGGTTGATGACATGCAGGTCGTAAGGACAGATGAGTTGACGGTAACTCCAAAGTTCTAAAAGGGATGTTTGGGAGAACTGTGATTCTGTTAACTGCCCGGAGAAGAAAAGAGAGAAGAGGAAGCTTTCAAATTGAATTTTCAGAGGAAATTGAATACCTGGGTGTTTTTCATATGTATCTTCTTTTAATTTCTTAAATTCCAGCTTCCCTTATCTTTGTAAAATCAATTTATCTGTAACATACATCCAGAACCTTCTTATCCTGCTTTTTCCACCCCTGAAGACTCTGTCCAGGAAATTTATAGATGTTGCATCTGAGAAAACTCCTTAGATTCTGTCCCATATTCAGATTCATTCCATGTTAGAGTCAGTGTTTTAGTTGCAAACTACACCATTGTGAAAAGATAACCCACTACATGGATGGCTCTCCGCAGGGTTAGAAGTATCGTACTTTCCAACCCGCCATCCTGTTACGGGAAGCCACAAAGTCTGGTGGTCTGACCTCTAGGGATACAGAGGTGATAGGCCACATATCTGCTGAGTAGCCCCAGAGCCTGGCTGTGGCAGGTCCTGAGCTTGATCTGACATCTGAATCCTGTCCAGCTGAGGACGCAGCCTGGAAAACGTACTGTGTGTGCAGTAAGTTGATCTCTAATTTAGTTAGTGCGCATGTCATGCCAACTGTGTGGAAAGAGTCATCTTAGGTACTCTTCAAAACTAGCAAGGGAACGACAGGCTCTTTGCCATCCAAGAGCTTACAGTCTAGGCTGAGAACCAAACGTATATTGAAGTTTAGACCAATTACAAAAACAGTATGTCAAGTGTGCTTGCTCCTCACAGGTGAAAATAGAAATGTTGAAGGGAAGAAGATGCAGAATATAAAATAGGCTAAAAGAGTGGGGATGGGGTTGTTGAAGGCTGACTAGTTTAATTAAACTCCTGATTTCTTTCCTGGCCTGGGCTCAGTCTCTTCCCATGAGTCCGTTTCCCTCCCATTCTAAGGCGGGAGAAGGTGGCCTGGTACTATCATCAATGATAAACGTGTTCTGAGCTCCTTATTTTATGAGAACCTCTCAAGGAGTTTATACCATTAGAAATCGAAGACTTTTGCCAAGTTCAGAAAACATGCACTGAGAATTTATTACAAATAAGTGGGATACATTAAAAAAAAGATTAATAACAGAATAAGGTGACATGTCAAGCAGGTTCAAGATGAGGTAACAGTGAATGCGAGAAGCTTTTTGGAGACAGGGAGGGGTTTTTTTTGTTTTTTGGGGGGTTTTTTTTGCGGTATGCGGGCCTCTCACTGTTGTGGCCTCTCCCGTTGCGGAGCACAGGCTCCGGACGCGCAGGCTCAGCGGCCATGGCTCACGGGCCCAGCCGCTCCGTGGCATGTGGGATCCTCCCGGACCAGGGCACGAACCCGTGTCCCCTGCGTCGGGAGGCGGACTCTCAACCACTGCGCCACCAGGGAAGCCCCAACAGGGAGGTTTGAGATGGTTCCTAGAGAACAGGTAGAAGTGAGGTAAGTCATGGGGAGATAAAAGGTATCCACACATGGGGGCAGCATGACCGGAAGTGCGGATACAGGAGTACTTGTGGGAGATTCTAGAGGTGGTGAGCACATCCATTTTGGGCAAAGTTGAGGATTCTCACAGAGGAGTAATGAAACTTAAGGATAAACAGTAAGCTTGGGGAGAGATTATGCACAACCCAGGATAGGCTGCCCTGTCAAAGAACTGGACTCTCGTACTGACAGCTTGTGGGAGCAATTTTGTTAACAGTTTTATCCAAAGACAACTCACATCCCAGAAACATAAGCTGTGCTTTGGCCGAGTGTACACCTTAAATACCAGCTTTCCCTCCTGCTGTGAATTTTCATGTTTTTCATGCTTCCTCAGCCCTGTGTTATGCCTGCTCTTGTAGGTGCCTCCATTGCACTAATGGACAAAGAAGGATTGACAGCCCTCAGCTGGGCTTGTTTGAAGGGTCACCTCTCAGTAGTACGTTCTCTGGTGGATAATGGAGCCGCCACAGACCATGCTGACAAGAATGGCCGCACCCCACTGGATCTGGCGGCTTTCTATGGTGATGCTGAGGTGGTGAGTGCCTTTAACCAAGCCTCAGGGTGGTAAGAATAGGGAAGGTTCTCTATCCACAATGTTATCTGGGGTTGATGATTCCTGATATAAAGTTCTCAGATCTGTACTTGCTCCAGGGCGGGAACATTGAAAACACCATTAAAGACCAGGAGCGTAGGTCTGGCCTGGAATACCATGACTGTCCAGCCTGGCTCAAACCAGTAGCTGAATAAAGGGCAGGCAGCAGCCGGAGCCCTGAGTGGAGCAGTGTGAGCCGTCACACCTGCGTTAACTGCGCTGCTTCGTCCGTGTCCTAGGTCCAGTTCCTGGTGGATCACGGGGCCATGATTGAGCACGTTGACTACAGCGGAATGCGCCCTTTGGACAGGGCAGTGGGGTGCCGGAACACTTCTGTTGTTGTCACTCTTCTGAAGAAAGGAGCCAAGATAGGTAGGAAAAAGGAAGAAGGTGCTGGCCATCTGTGCCCAGGGGCCAGACTGGTCCGGCGGTCTGGCTGCCCTGGGTGTGTGGTGTGCGTGTATGTAGTTTCCCCTCTGCCCTGGCCCAGTTATTGTCCAAGTGAACAGAAGGCTCTTGGCCCAGAGAAAGCACCATCTGAGCCATGGTCTACGCTACCCTGTGTCCAAAATCACACGGTTATCTGCGGTGCCCCGAGTAGCCTTAGCCAGGAGGCTGCTCCGACCTTAAGCACATCTCAGCGCTGACACCTCGGTAGCAGCCCCGCCCTGTGAGCATCCTGGATCCCTGCACCGCCACAGCCTTCGCTTTCCCTTGCTCTGTGTGTGCTTTGGACTCTCGAGTCCCTGCGGCTGCCGTCCCATCCACTCCCCGTCCCTCAGACCTGTAGACAAGGGTTGGCTGATATGCTGGCTTTTTTGCTGCCTGCCTCTCACCGCTGCTTTTTCCTTCTTTTTTTTCACCTTCATCCATTTTTTTTTCCTCTCCTACAACTTTTTGTTTTCTCCTTTCTTTGAAGGTTGTCAGACGTTACCGAGTCGCCCACGAGGTATATTTCACCGCTGTCAGCATCAGGCGTGGTCTGATGGCTTGATCAGCTTTGCCTTCTCCTCTTTGATTTAGCCTGCATGAGTTCCCTACACCTCTAATCTTTTAATTTACTTCACCTTAAAAGAAGATTTTTTTTAATGACTGTTGTAGAGAATAACTTGAACTTTTGATAACTAACCCTGAAAAGCCTAGTTGGTAAATAATTCAGGCATCCGTAAACTAATCGAGTTAACCTTTTCTTTCTCTTTGTGGGTAAAGTGGTCCTCGGTCATGTTGGCTTGTTTCACATTGGAACCGTGCTCCTGGTTCAGCATGAATCCCAGGAGTCCTATTCAGTACTTACAGATTAGGGGAACCTTTAGAGTCTTTCATGGTTTCCCTTCTGCAAAGAACGTATTTAAAAATTGAGACTAAACAGCTGGGGCTCTTGAGTCCCAGATTCTGAAATAAATTACCCTTTTTAGATTTTTAAAATCTTATGGTGACATTTAATGTAAACCCTTTCTCCCAATTTCCTTATTTAAAATAACTCCAAAATAAGCAATCGCCTGCCCAAATAAAACACGCAGGCTTTGCTGCCCTCCAGTGGTGCAAACTCAGACAGTTCAAACATTCTTATTTTAAGGTGAATACAAATCCAACGCAGCTTCTTGGCAGTGGGAGTTACTAAGACACTCCCAGTTCTAAAAGATGAGGCCATTGTTGTGGAGCAAGTTGTTCTCTCAGCAGAAATTCCCCAAGGGTGTTTTTTTCACCTAGCTTCCTGCCACCCTTACATTGTATGAGTTTTTTACCCATCATGCATCCTGTACACTACAGGTCCAGCCACATGGGCGATGGCTACCTCCAAACCAGACATCATGATCATCCTGCTGAGCAAGCTGATGGAAGAGGGGGACATGTTTTATAAGGTGAGCGGAGGAAGGAACCGTGTCCTCCAGACAGCCCTGACTGTTCTCTCCTTGTAGAATCTCCCGAAGTCTCGGCAGGTCTCACCCTTGGTTCTAGAGGCAGTGCCATCCCTCGGTGGTGGGCTCGTAAGCTGAGGACCCCAAGTTTTTGCTTTCTCAACAAGAGAGCAAGAGTAGCCTGCACATGCCTGCAGCTGATGGACCTAAAGACCTGGTCTTACCTGGTCACTAATAGGCAGATGCGTAGATTCTACATGGAATCTGTTCATTGGAGCCTGGAAACCATGGGACAAGTAAAAGAAACGTTATATAGTGCAGATATTTCCAGTCTGTGGGAAAGAGGCATCAATCTTAGCTTTTATATTTAATATATATGTAGATTTAAAACTCTGTAGTAATAATAGCTTATCAGCATCCCTGAGGAAGGAAAGGAAACCAAGACAAATAGCAATTACAAGATTTACTTGAAATGACAACAAAAAAGGTATGAAGTCTTCTTGTACTCACAGTTCAAGCTGAAGGCTGCATATCCCTAACACACACAAACTCCCATGGGCTGCAGGAAGTCCCTGAAGAACTTCCCATGTCAGAGTTATCTCATTGTGTTAAGATTAGCTGAATCTTCTTTTCCTAAAGTAAATACAAATCCGGCCCAACTTTTGGCAGCGGGTGTCACTGAGACATGCCCAGGCCCAAAGATGAGGAAATGATTGTGATGCACGTTACTTCCGCCTTGTGTAAGGAGTATACAGAGCTCCTGGGAGTACCGTTGTATTTCCCAAAGACCCTTTGAGTGAGAGTTATTGTAATCTAGGACTCTTAGGCTTCTAGGAAACTTGAGTTCTGAGCCAGCCATGATTTTACATGACTTCAAAGAAGGGCCTCTCAGGGTGTCATGTTTATGGACTCGAGAGTGGCACTGCTGTCAAGAATCTCAGCCCTGTTCATGACATAACTTGTGGCACCCTACGACAAGGAATCCTACCTCCTAAACAGGCAGAGCTACTCCTGCTCCTACCCAGAATTCTGCCTTGGAAGACTCCCAAGTCTATCCTCAGTGAAAGGGTCTAAAGAGAAAATAAAAGATCAGGATCCCTGGTTGGAGTTGCAACTATACAGACAGAATGGAGTGGATAAAGGGCAGCTAACAGTGTGAGATGCCTCCTGCATCATTCTGGGCTCAGCTTATAGATTTTCAGATGCAAAATGTAAGAAAAGTTCAAGGCCCCTGTGACCAGTTCCCTAGGTGGGTCACAGATTTACCTCATCTTGGAAAATCCCTCTGACACAGATGGAATCACAAATTCTAAATTTCACTTGTCTACCACCACCCTACCCCATGCCTTTTCGAAAAACAGGGGAAGACTCATTGATATTGTTTTATGCCATGAGATTAGGGGAGCAACAGCTAGACTGCTTTAGCTCCCACATCCTTTGTGAGGAGGAGAATGGCCTCTTGTAGAGGACTGGCAAGGTGGAACAAAAAGAATTTCCAGATAAAACAGGTGTAAAGAAGTAGTAATAACCTTGGAGTGATTGGGACTGGGGAATGCTATGTGTCCTATAGGGAGATCAGGTCGGGGAAAAACCTCCTTTGAAATGAACAAGGTCAGTTCCTTGGGAGTCCAGTTGGGAAGCTGGGGTCCCAGGCCTTTCATACGCCAAGACTTTGTTTCTCTGGCTTGTATCGTGGGAATCCCCTTCGTCACCCCTCACCTGCCAGGTGAGCTTCCAGTAGAAAAGACTGGACCCTGCTGCTCTCACCGTCAGGGCTGGTGTTGGGAGGGCCTAACCCTTAGTAGTAACTGCGGAGAGGGGAAGGGAGTGGGGGCAAACCTCCTCAGCTGCTCAGCAGACCAACTGTGTTTTGCTCTCTTGTGCTCCCACTAGAAAGGGAAAGTAAAGGAAGCTGCCCAGCGCTACCAGTACGCTCTGAAGAAATTCCCTAGAGAAGGGTTTGGTGAGGACTTGAAAACCTTCCGGGAACTAAAAGTGTCTCTCCTCCTCAACCTCTCTCGATGTCGCAGGAAAATGAACGTAAGTCCCTCTCATCCCGGCTCCTTTCTGCAGTACTGGAAGTTGACGGTCCGTGTCATGCACTGGCTTTTACCAGGCCCCTGAAATCCTTGTCTGCCCCATTTGGAACTTGGTTGTCCTTCACAGAGCACTGACATTTGCAATTTGAAAGAAATCAAGTCTAAGTACAATCCGTACCTCAAACGATAAAAAAAGTTAATCCTGTGGGCACTTTGTAGCTTTCTGAATTTTCCTAATTCCTGCTGAAAGTGATTGGAGTGCCATCATCATCCTGCCCTGCCCCCAGGTCAGTTTTCTGGTCTTTGGGAAAATGTGAGAGCAGTGGTCACTGGAATTCCAGATGCAATTAGATACAAATTTTAGTCATTCCCTTCTTTACTGGTAGACCCCCTAGTCATTTAAGGAAGGGCTGGAAAGAGGGCCCAGGACCATGAACTTCAAGGTTTAATTTCTAAGGCTAATCTTCAACTTTTCACTTCTTTCTTCGTCCTTTTATTCTAACATGACGTGTCCCTTCTTGTCACAGAGGGAGTCTTAGAACTCCTCCTGGTCCTTTATTATCCCCTAAATAGTCCTTGGTCCTTCTTGCCTGCCTTGCAGATACAGCCTCTGATGGCCTCAGGCACTGCTCCCTTGACCTGCAGACACTCCTGGGCCAAGAACCCTCTCTCAGATCCTGGGAATAGCCAGGATCATGTCAGGCATCTCTGACATCCACTAGCCTGAGGTCTCATGGTTCCTCAGGAGATAACAATAATCCAGGCCAAACAGGAATGTTTGAATAAAGGGATAGAGAACTCAGGCGTACAGAAGTGAGCTTTCAGCCTCAGTAGCAACAGATCTGCTGTCGGTTCTGGAAAAGTGACCTTTATATCATCCATCTTTAGATGGCAATGAAAAGAGCACCCTGATAAATAGACTTGGGTATCTCAGAGGGCACCGTGATGCCCTAAGAGGCAGCGTTTTCCCAGGTGCCGAGGAGAGCGGGGATGTGGGAGAGGTTCTCCGGGAAAGGTGGTGAGGTTCTTACATGAAACAGAAGAAACAGCAGCAAGGGTCTCCTCCAGTTAGTAAGAGTTAGACAAAGCTCCGAAGCTGCTGCCAACCTGCTGGCTGCCTTTTTGCCTCACAAATAGTCTGCTTCTTAAAAATACTCTGTAATCTTCCCAGAAATAACAATTGTCCCAAAAGAAAAAATGAAGGGGAAAGGTTGAAACAGTAGAGCTGGAAGCTGATGCTATGAAATAGAACACTTCCTCTGTAGCTCCACGTTGGATCAGAAACAGTTAATCACCTCCCAGGACCACCTGAAGTCTGTCGTCCTATGTCGAAAGTTGCCCATTAATTTTTTTTTTTTCAACTTTACCTCCACCCCAGGACCTTTGTTCTGCCTTAGGATTCACAAGTGTAACCAGAGGCTACTGTGCTGTACTATGGCTTTGATAGTAAAAGAGGAGAAAACCTTCCCCTTTAGTTTAGTATGTAAGGGTGTCTTGAAGACTATGGCTTCGTTTCCCTGGTTCCTGTTCCCAGGGCTTCTCAGAATGAGGACAGATGGGACCGTGTTCCTCCAGGCAGCCTCAGTGATTAAGAGATGAGGTGACAGCACAGGCCCCAGTGACAGCCAGTCTTCTCTCTTGTCTTATTATTATTATTTAAATTTTAAATGTTTCCTAAGTAAGGAACAAGTTAAGAGAAGGAGCAGGCCAGAGAAGCCTCTATGAAACAGAATGGAAACTACCCTTCATTGAGCATCTCCTGTGTGCCAGGGACTGTGTATGGAGCTTTCAAATGCTTTATTGCTCTTAATCCTACCTGGGAGGTCCGTATGGATAAGAAAACACACAACACACCCCGAGGGCTTACAAAGCGGAGCAGAGAATCGAACGCAAGCCTGTCTGACGTCCCTCCTCCATCCCGTCTCCATAGCCAGTCATTTCTTTTTTACACAGATCCCATCTTCCTAGACTTATTTCTCATCCCTTTAAAGCCAAGGAATAGTGGGTGCGGCAGGAAGGTGGGGGGTAGGATGAGGGCACACACGAGGCGTCGACGTGTGTGTTTGCCTCATATACGCATGTGCAGCGAGAGTTTGGGTTTCCAACTTCAAGAGCTTCAGTGGGTTGACATTTGGCTTCTGGACCAGAAAGAACTATGTTGCAAAGGCAGAAAGAGGACAAATTAAAAATATTTTCATACTTTTGGGCAGATGAATTCCTGTGAGCCATTGCAGGGCCACACAGGGCAAAAGGCAGAAGGAGCTTTCAGTCTGGGCCACGTGGCTAGAGCCATGCCAGGCATGTCAAGAATCCCAGGTGTTCCGTCCATAAATGTCAAAGAAATGTACATATAATCTGTTTTATTCCCAAGATGTCTATTTTTCATATCTCTTCAATGACTCATTTGCACACCTATTGTAATGACAGGATTTTGGAATGGCGGAGGAATTTGCTACTAAGGCCCTGGAGCTGAAACCGAAATCTTATGAAGCTTACTATGCAAGAGCAAGGGCAAAACGCAGCAGCAGGTGAGGAGAGAGAGAGAGAGGGTGAGAAGCAAGAGCTCTCTTTTCTGAAAATCTGGCCAAGGCAACGTAGACCATCCTGGGGCATATCGGACAGACCCCCATGTCTGTCCCTGAGGACTCGCAGGACCAAGCTTTGGGGACGGCTCCCATCGCACAGAACGCATCGTACAGCTGGCAGCTCTTTGGGGCTGTGGAGATCTAGAGCATTTTCCTTTGGGAGAAAACTGCCTTTTCATTGTTGGAGGATGGCACCTTCTTCCCAGAAGCCTCTGCCGTATCTCAGTCGCTCTTTAACCCCCAAAGCAGATAGCGTAGAGACACTGGTGGCTTAAGAAGAGGTCACTTGAGCAAAATATCCTCCCAGCCCTTTTAGAGGGGAAAGTAGGATGGGCATATGTCACAGGCCCCTCTTTCTTTTCTTATAGGCCTTTGGGAGATTCCCTGGATCATTTAGTCTTCCTCCTGGGGCTCTCCTCAAGTCTGGTGGGATCAAGCCTCCTTCTCCCATACCCACCCCTCCCAGCACCACACCACACATGCATGGAGACAGGAGGTCCTGCTGCCAGGACTGAGAGGGCCCAAGAGAAACCCCATCTCTCATGCCCCATCTGCTGTGGTTTGGCCAGTGGGCAGGAAAGCCTCCAGAAAGATCTAGAAACTGCCATCAGTGATCTTTAGATAACTTGTCACTGTCCTTAATGCCTCCTGCCCGGCGCCCTGCCCTTCTCCCCAGCTCTGCCTGTAAAAGAACTGCTTCAGGTTCACAGCTATGACCAGGGGGCATGTGGTCCTGAAAATCAAACCCAGGTTAAGTCTAGTGATGACGGTGGCAGTGATCTTAGTCTTAATTAGCTGGGGCAACAGAGTTCTTACAGAAGCTTGACTGTCAAATTCTCTTTCCCCTTGGATTATTCCTTCCCCACAAGGCCAATTGCCCCTTTTCTGGGCAAGGTTAATAGAGAGGACGGGAGTATCTCTGACCGTTTGTGTCCTTATCTGTAGACCAGAATCTGAGTTTTCTAGTCAGCAAGCCTAATACCTGCCCAGCTTGGATGTAGCAGAATGGAGGAGCCGCAGTGCTGTGGGGCGAGGGGTAGAAAGGGCAGAGGACAGGGTTCTTGCCTAGGATGGAACAGGCCTGGAAATTGGAGCTAAAATATAAAGAAAAAATTCTGCTGGATCAGCAAGATTTTAAATATTGTAGTTACTGTTTTGTTCCTAAGCTAATTGACAGTGGCCCTGTAAATGACAACCCCACCCAACCCTCATACTACCTGGTGTGCATTTGGACACTGAGAGAAACTTCCTGAAGGGCCTCGCTGGACTGACAAAATAGGGACATTTCTCCACTGATCCCAGAGAGGCCAGAGGGAAGATGGAGGCTGAACTGGCTAGGGAATCATTCTGGACTCTTCTGGAATGACAGCCTACCTATTTCCTTCCTTACAAATCAGACGAAACCAAAGCCCCCCAGATGCCCCCAGACGCTAACAGTTCTCTGAAACAGTGACCGTGTTCTCAGCTCTTGGTGGTTCCTGTTGATTCAGAATAACTCCAGTTCCTGTGTTTACATTTTGTCAAGCAGACAGTTTGCAGCAGCCTTAGAGGACCTGAACGAGGCCATCAAGCTGTGTCCAAACAACCGTGAGATCCAGAGGCTTCTGCTGAGAGTGGAGGAGGAGTGTCGGCAGATGCAGCAGCAGCCGCCGGCGGCACAGCAGCAGCCTCAGCAGCAGTTACCGGAAGAGACAGAACCCGAACCCCAGCATGAAGATATCTACTCCGTGCAGGACATACTCGAGGAGGAGTTCTTGGAACAGGATGTTGAGAATGTGTCCATCGGCCTCCAGACGGAGGCTCGGCCCAGCCAGGGGCCCCCGATAATCCAGAGCCCGCCCCCCTCCCCGGCCCACCGTGACGCGGCCTACGTCTCCAGCTCGCCTCTCGGCTCTCACCAGGTTTTTGACTTCCGGTCCAGTAGTTCTGTAGGTTCTCCCACTAGGCAGAGCTATCAGTCCACCTCACCTGCTCTTTCTCCAACTCACCAGAACTCGCATTACAGGCCTAGTCCCCCGCACACTTCCCCAGCTCATCAGGGAGGATCTTACCGCTTCAGCCCCCCTCCTGTGGGAGGGCAGGGCAAGGAATACCCGAGCCCTCCCCCGTCCCCTCTCCGCAGAGGCCCTCAGTATCGGGCCAGCCCTCCCGCGGAAAGCATGAGTGTCTATAGATCCCAGTCAGGCTCCCCCGTGCGCTATCAGCAAGAAACAAATGTTAGTCAGCTTCCTGGAAGACCGAAATCTCCATTATCCAAGATGGCCCAGCGGCCCTACCAGATGCCCCAGCTTCCCGTGGCAGTGCCCCAGCAAGGGCTCAGGCTCCAGCCGGCCAAAGCGCAGATCGTGAGAAGCAACCAGCCCAGCTCAGCAGTTCATTCGAGCACTGTCGTCTCCACAGGGGCCTATGGCCAAGTGGCCCATTCAATGGCTGGTAAATACCAGTCTTCACAAGGAGACATAGGAGTAAGTCAGAGCCGGTTGGTTTATCAAGGGTCAATCGGGGGGATTGTAGGGGATGGCAGACCCGTGCAGCATGTGCAGGCCAGCCTGAGTGCAGGCGCCATCTGTCAGCACGGAGGGTTGACCAAAGAAGACCTTCCCCAGCGACCTTCCTCCGCCTATCGAGGTGGCATGAGATACAGCCAGACACCACAGATTGGGCGTAGCCAGTCCGCATCCTATTACCCAGTCTGTCACTCAAAACTAGACCTGGAGCGTTCCTCCAGCCAACTAGGTTCCCCTGATGTGTCACATTTAATCAGAAGACCTATTAGTGTCAACCCTAATGAAATCAAACCCCACCCACCAACTCCCAGGCCATTGCTGCACTCCCAAAGCGTAGGCCTTCGTTTCTCTCCATCTAGCAATAGTATCTCATCCGCCTCCAACCTAACTCCTACCTTCCGGCCATCTTCCTCGATTCAACAAATGGAGATCCCACTGAAACCGGCATACGATAGGTCATGTGACGAGCTGTCGCCAGTGTCTCCCACTCAGGGAGGTTACCCTAGTGAGCCCACCCGATCCAGGACCACACCATTCATGGGGATCATAGATAAAACAGCCCGGACTCAACAGTACCCCCACCTTCACCAGCAGAATCGGACCTGGGCAGTGTCATCAGTGGATACCGTTCTCAGTCCTACGTCTCCAGGCAACCTGCCTCAGCCTGAGTCCTTCAGCCCACCGTCATCCATCAGCAACATTGCCTTTTATAACAAAACCAACAATGCACAGAACGGCCACTTGCTGGAGGACGATTACTACAGCCCCCATGGGATGCTGGCTAACGGGTCGCGCGGAGACCTGCTGGAGAGAGTTAGCCAGGCCTCCTCGTACCCCGACGTGAAGGTGGCTCGGACCCTCCCTGTGGCTCAGGCGTACCAGGACAACCTGCACAGGCAGCTGTCCCGGGACTCTCGACACGGGCAGACGTCCCCTATCAAACCAAAGAGACCATTTGTGGAGTCTAATGTCTAAAAGACGTGTGTTGGAGTGAGACCCCTATGTGTTCACTGCACATTTTCAGGCTTGGTTTCCACATTCGAGGTAGTTCTCTGGCTTAATTTCTCATGTAGTTTCCGCGTGGTGTTCAGAGGTGGCAGCCCACATGCCGAAATCCTTTGCATGCAGCCAACTGGGAAGCTGGCCTCCGGGGAGCCAGGACTTGGGTTTCTTTTGTCTGTACCCTAGCCACACGCTCTCTCCCTCTCTTCAGATGCCAACGAGGAGATTGTTGTGCCGTGTGCTTTAACCCAGGGAGATCAGACACACTGGTCAGCTTTTTCCAGGAGACAATCGCTTTCACTGATGTTCTTGTTGTGTAAAACGTCTTTCTCCTTTTTTTACAAAAATAAGATGTTCTTGTTCGTTTTCTTCTAGGAACTTTAGAAAGAGTGTGATGCCCCTTTGCCTTTGCATTCTTATCCAGTGTTATCCAAATAGCAGCCCCAGTGCATTCTTGTGCCATGGTCTCCTCCCCTGGACCGCCAGCTCCCTGCAGCCATCCGGTCTAGAATGTTCATTTAGATTATCGCTGGTCTTCCTCTGGGGGTAAAGGATCAAGGAGAAAGAGAAGAAATAAGAAAGCACCAATGCAGTTATTTGAAATGTCACTACATGGATTTCCCAAGAGGCATTTTAGGAACATTGAGAAAACAACCAGCCCTTTAAATATTCCAGTCAGCCGAGGAAATTGGATGAGAATCATGCATACTTCTAAATAATTCACTGAGTTATTCTTTACGTTTTTAGCCAAATTAACCATTAAAAGCTACCGATTTTCCATGGGTGGGGGAGAGAATAAATAAGTACATAGAGAGACTGTTCTGGATTCTCAGTGAAAGGCTGTAGAAAATCTGTCTTGGAGAAATCTACTTTTTGGGTTCTGATACGTCACTGAGCATCGTATTCCTCAAAAAGCACTCTCTTCCCGGAGGTTGCCTGGTGTAGTAATCCTGTTAAGTTGGATCTTTGCCTAGAGCCAGATTTTGTTCTACTGGCCCTCTTTTTGTTTTTTTTTTTAAACCCAGATGGTATAGTGAAGAATTGGTTTTGGGGGAAGGAAGTTGAATTCTCTGGGGACGGTAAGACTTATTCCCAGAGCTTGCACCCAGGGCCATTGCATTCCACGGCAAATGCTGTCTAACTCCATTTCAAGATCTATTGTTTCATTATCTGTTATTACAGGAATTGTTTACTCTTTTCTTCTTCTAGGTAGGAGTGTTTGGGGATTGATATTTAAAAGCCAGGCACAGCAAAGTGTTTCCGGGTGAAGAAAGACCCCTTTCAGCCCTGGGTAGGAGCACATAAGGTAGACAGCAAGTCTTCTGATCCAGTCACCCTCCAGACATCTCCTGTGTCTGGTGGCCCTTTGCTAACCGGTCCTTTGAGTGACTGAGGCCAGCATGAGAGGGACGGCAAGAACACTGAAATCGAAGCCTTAGCACAGGCCTGGTAGCGACTGCACATCAGCTCTTAAAGTTAACAAACTAAACAACTAAAAGTAAACAAAAGAGAATTCGGTCACTGTTACCAGGAATCATTCTGCTCTTGTTAGTAAAGGGCTACAGGAAGGGAGGTTTCCTGAGCAAAAATCCAGATGTGACCAGACCTGTTTGTGATAGTAAGTGTCCTCTGAAAGAATCGTTAAGACATGGGGAGCATGAAGCTGAAATCAGAAACACTTCTTTACTAACTTAGATTCTGCCAAACAGATGAACCCCTCCACCCCCAAGCCTGGAACAGGCCAGGATGTGTGTCCTGTGCTAGAAGTCAACAGCAAGGCTAACTCGAGACCCAGCCTCTGTCCACTCTCTCTGATGCTTAAGGACTATCTCCCACTCACCTAGCCCAGAGTGGACATCAGTGTCTCTCTCTCTCTCATCAAGAAGGTGAAATGTACAGCTATAGCATCAGCCTACAGCCAGGAGCCCAGCAGCCTCTCAGCTTTTTTTGTCCAGACCTCAGCCCTGTTGGGCTCTTTGCATCTTACCCTTTTTAACTGCTACTCCCTGAGGCGCTGCTGCTACATTTTGCGAATTTCTCAGTGTTTATTAGAAAAGTGCCCCTCGTTTATTTGGAACACCACACGTGCCACCTGCACTCACGTGAGTGGGCAAGCAGGTGCTGTAGTTTTACAAATACACCACTGATGCCACTTCTCCCGAGCGTGTCTCTTAGAATTTTCTAGGACAGACAGATTTAGGGTCCATGCCTTACTGGACAAAACACTAAACTGTCAACAGTCAAGATGCAATTCTTTTTTAGCCATCGTAAGAAGGAGTGAATATCACTACTGGGCGCCCGTTGTTTTTGACTAAAAATTGCCAACTGGACCTTATTGGAGCAGGAGACAAAGCTCTTCCTTGTAAGCAGACTGCCTGTGCCCTGTTTTGCTACTTCACTGCCACGGGACGATCTCAGTGCTGTACCTTAGAGATGCCTCCTCCCCAGGCAGCACTTGCTCAGTCAATGTCTGGCTTCAGGTGGGGGGGGGGGGGAATTTTTCACATGAAACCGGTAAGTTCCACTCAGCCAATTCACATCACCCTGAAATGGAGACAGTGGTGACAGACTTCAGCTTATAGGTTTCTCACCAAATCCTACCTTCCGTTCACCCAGAATTCTTGCACTAATGGGTTTCCATCACATCATGTCTTTAAATGGGTGCACTTTATTGTTTGAATTTGTAACTGATAAATACTGGATATTTAAGTGTGAGTAATGTCTTCATTAGAAAATAGCAAAACCGCCCTTGTCTTTTAGTGTATTTTTCAAGGGAAAAAAAAAAAAAAAGGAAAGAAAGCAAGCAGTGGATCACAACATTTATAGCACAAGAAATAACTGTTGTATATAAGCATCAAAAAGATTAAGAGTTTTTAAATACAAAAAAATATTTGCCGTGATTTTAAAGTGCTTTTCCAGCAATTTTCTTAGGGACTCCTGAGACATGGTTACTTTATTTACTGGATCAGTAAGGCACACAATTAACAATTAAAAATTAATGTTTATTTACAAAGTAAAGGGAAAACCTGTGTAACATGAGAATTTGGCATGGACAAAATGGAGACCATTTTGTATCTGCTGTTGTATCTTGTCCGGTTTGCAGACGTGCGCTATTAAAAGTCCCAAGTTAATAGAGCACAAACCCTTCTTGTTCCTCTCCCATGTGCCCTTCTTTCTAGATGTGTTTAACTTAAACTCGAAGGCTCAGGAAAATTCCACTAATTAGAATCATGTACAGTACCCCAGGTCGTTGTCCAGAGATAACAAGTTTGCTAATTTAGTTAAGCCTGGATTATTGTAAACAGAACAGCTTAGAGAAAGGTATTCTCGGCCCTTATATTGTATAGTAGTTTATGAACCCCCTCTCTAAATATTGGTATTTTTATATTCCAGAGATGTACCCAACAGAAAAATTAATCAGTATCTAATTTAATATCCATAAGTATTTTCCTTAGATTTTAGTCATAGACAGTGGGTTTTTGTGGATGTCACCTTGCTTCACCATACTTTACCACTAGGTGTCACTGTGGCTCTGCACCAGGCTTGTCTGGTAGCAGAGAATGGCAGCATCTCTGGAGGAGCGACATCCAGGCCAACAACAGACAGGCTCATAGGCTCAAGAGGGTTCGAGAAGGAGGGAACAAAGGCCTGGAAAGGGCTCTTCATACATCTGTGCCAGATGTGGCGAGATAAGCTCTTTGAACACTTCCTGCTTTGGACCTTCAGCCAGGCAGAGGCTGGGGGAAGGCTGACCAGAGCTCCTTTTCTCTGGTGGATGAATGGGTGTGCAGAAGACCCATTTCTTCCCCAGGAGCATCCCTCTCAGTTCCTCTCGGCCTCCAACTTTTATAACTCCAGAGGTGTCACGGTTGGATGGTTTGATTCAAAGATAGTTATTTTTCTCCTGCAGAATTGCCTTGGACAAAACCAGTTGCTTGCTGAATCTTTGCCACAAAATGGAACAGGCTCCCCAGGGGGCAGGATGTACCCACCCCATCCCAGCCTCGCCCGCCCTGCCTGTCTGTCCCGGGGCTGCCCCCTTCTCGAGAAGCTACCCTGCAGAGGCAGCCTGCAGCTGCTCCCACACCAGGCCTGTGCCACCCGGTTGCGTGTGCACTGGGGGTGTGTGTGGCTTTCTCTCCTTCTCCTCTAGGAATTCCAGACTGACCAGCAGCTACCATGACTGACAACAGTGAACAAAGGGCTTAGGGGTAGGAGCTACCTACAAAGACGTGTCATGGAAACCTTCACCATGCAATGCCTTGAACTCAGCTCTGGCTGCTCCCAAGAAGAGGTGGCTGGCTGGGGGCCTGGACACAAGCACAATGGGGCTGGTGGAGCCACTGTGCAGAGCTACTTGAATAATCACTGGGACTTCATCAACTTTTATAACACAGACCACTCAAGGGCTGAAGTGTTGGTAACCTGCATTTCGGTGTCCAATGCCTCACAGCAGCTGAACCACCCTGAGATGCTTGTGGCCAGCTGATGGCCACAGTCAGAGCTTTGAAAGTCAGTACCAAATGAATGCGTAATTGGACACCAAAAATCAAGTGTTACTTTCGTGTTTCCTCACCCATATCCTCTCATTTCTTCCTGCTGACTCTGTGATATCTCCACTAAGCTGACCTGTCAGGTTTTAGCTGGATGCATATAGGTGCAGGCCGGCATTGCTCTCGTTTTTTCCACCTAGTCTGTGGAAAGGAAGGAGCTTAGCGGGCTGTGTTGTAGCACTTGCTGGCTGGATTTTTCTTTTGCCTAATCGCTAACCAGAACACCTGGTTAGGGGGACTCAACTCAATCCCTTTGGTCCCCAGGACCAGACAGAGAGTCAATTCTGGAAAATTCAGTACTTGAATGTACCTGCCTTATTGTGAACCAACTTACTGGAAAAGTGTTAGAAATGCTGGCTCCAGATCTCTACTTCATTCACAGGTTATTTTGGAAGTTCTGTAAGTTACACTTCCTGTTCTGGTTTGGTTTTTTTGGTTTGTTTTTGTTTCTGTTTTTTTTTTTCCTCTTTGGCTGATTCCTGCTGAGTGGGACCAGTTCCTCGTCAGGCTCAGGGCAGGTGCCATTCTCAGGCATGGCCTCCTTTCCATCCAGCATAGCATCTTTGTCTCTGTTCTGTCTCCTCCAAATCCAAGATGATTTTAATTAGTACAGACATGTACAGTCTACAATTAAAGAGTGATTTGTACTAATATGATTTTGATTCTTCCTCCTCTTTGCTGTCCTTTCAAGACACTTGCTGGAAAAAGCTTTAATGCACTTAGTTTTCCTTTAGGTTTTCTATAACTCAGATGTAAAGGACTTTCTCTGTACAGTATATTATCCAATGCATGTTTGTTCTCTATCCTGATATATTGAACACCACACAGTTGTGAACTCGTGCAGTGGGGATGTCCCACACCCAGCAGAGGCATCTAGGCCCCTGTGTATAAGGAAAGACGTTTTCCTTTGCTGTACTTGCTTGAGCAGTTTTATTGTCTGTACACGTGAGCTGTGTGAGATAGATGTGAAAAGTTAAATGAATGCAGTTTCCTGCCCATGTATACAGATCGCCATCTGTACAATGAACTGTATGTATGAAAGCAAATGTACTTATTTATAAATGGGTAACACTTGGAAAAACATGGCGTTGTGGTGCACTCTCCTTTCATTACAGTAGCTCTCAGGGGAGCTGACTTGCGCTCAGCTACACTAAGGCCTGCAGTGTGAGGAAGCCTCCCCCAAGAACAACTGGCAGAGGCCAAATTCCTAATGATTTGGCTGGTCTCTTAAGGGATATTAAGAGTCACCCCTTCAGGCTCTGGTTCATCAGAGAAGTTACTGAGCACCTCTCTCGGGAGTTGGACACTGCGGTGGGCACGCAAGAACCATGCACAAGACGGTCCTGAGGGCCCATCAGCCAAGGCTCACTGCATTCATTGAGAAAGGGAGGCTTTTTCTTCCGTGGAAGAGCCTTTCTCCAGCCATGCCAAGGGAGCACTGAGTTCCTCTCCTTTGATTTTAATAGCTGAGGCTACACCCCAATCCAGCTACCGTACCAAAATCCAAGGCTGCCAGTTAGAACTGTTAGGGTTAGAGACCGCAGGCCCGAGGCAGGGGGACAGCACCAGCTCCCAAGGCTAACTTGGTTAAAGTTGGAAGCCTAGTGCTTCCAGTGACTTTATTTTTTCTTCAGAAATCCGGCCGGAATTACCAATCCTTGCCATATAGAGAGCTAGGCAGCTGCCCTGGGAACGGAGAGGTTGCAGGTTTTCTGAAATTGGCTGGAGACTCCATACCCTTCGTTAAGGACAGAGTCCTGTGGTCTTTCCTGCCTGGCTTCGACCTCTCTGTCTACTTCAGGCACAAGCAAGGAAGGAGACCACCTCCTCTAGACGCCAGACTTTGTTGAACAAACGCCCCTGCTGTGTAACTACATCCATTTCCCCCAAAGCACCAAAGCTGGGGAAGCAGGAAAACTCCAGGCATGCAGTCATCCCAGCCTGGACGCCACAACTGCCTTTAAAGAGGAGAGGACTCTGGAAGGAACTACCTGCTCAGTCTGAAAAGCATTCCTGGGCTGTTCCAGTTATTTCATTATAAGTTAAAAATGGATAAGTGGTTGAAAGAAAAACAGGGTTTATTTTTTGGTTTGGTTTGTTTTTTTATAAACTTATTTTTGGCTGCGTTGGGTCTTCGTTGCTGTGTGTGGGCTTTCTCTAGTTGTGGCGAGCAGGGGCTACTCTTCGTTGCAGTGCTCAGGCTTCTCATCGCAGTGGCTTCTCTTGTTGCGGAGCACGGGCTCTAGGTGTGCAGGCTTCAGTAGTTGTGGCCCCGCGGGCTCTAGAGCGCAGGCTCAGTAGTTGTGGCACAAAGGCTTAGTTGCTCCGTGGCATGTGGGATCTTCCCGGACCAGGGCTCGAACCCGTCTCCCCTGCATTGGCAGGCGGATTCTTAACCACTGTGCCACCAGGGAAGCCCAGGGAAACAGTTATTTAAGAATTCCTGAGGCACTGAATGATTCCTAAAAAGGTAATTTTTTAAAAAAAATAAATTTATTTATTTTTGGCCGCTTTGGGTCTTCGTTGCTGTACGCGGGCTTTCTCTAGTTGTGGTGAGCAGAGGCTACTCTTCGTTGCGGTGCGCAGGCTTCTCATTGCGGTGCCTTGTTGCGGAGCACGGGCTCTAGGTGTGCGGGCTTCAGTAGTTGTGGTTCACGGGCTCTAGAGCACAGGCTCAGTAGTTGTGGCCACAGGCTTAGTTGCTCCTCAACATGTGGGATCTTCGCGGACCAGGGCTCAAACCTGTGTCCCCTGCATTGGTAGGCAAATTCTTAACCACTGCACCACCAGGGAAGTCCCAGAAAGCTAATTTTTAAAAACTGTTTGCCCTGAACCTAACTGAAGAGCCACTCAGAGCAGCAGGAAACAGTGCACTCAGCACATTCTGGTAGGTCTTCCCCTAGTCATTTTCATTCCCTGGTAGGTGCCCTTTAGTTGCTCTTTATATAGCTCGACACACCGCTGTGCACACATGCACGTGGGCAGTCAGACTCCCCTTCCACAGGCCAAGGCTGAGGGGGGAACATAGCATCATCTTCTTTCACCTTTAAAAATGAAAGCTGGAGGAGCTTGAAGAAACTTGGAGACTGAGTCTTCCCATTGCCAGGAATAAGGACAGGACATTCATACTAAGGACATCATGTCTGGAAGGCCCTATGATAAAAAGGGCCTCATAGAAGAGACAGAGCTGAGTCCATTGTAAAGGGCCGTTCTCTTGAGATGCCCCTTATGTCCCAGACACTGTGATGGGGACTTGCCACATGTTCTCTAACGTATTCCTCATCCAATTTCTGACAGACATTGCCGTCTCCAGAACACAAATGAGGAAGCAGATCCTGAGAGTTTAAGTTGCTCAAGGTCATGGAGTCAAAGGTAGGACTCTGAATCAGATCTTCCCAGAAAGCATTTTCCCTCTACCATGCTGCCTGCCCGCTTCCTCAGAAGGGGGTATTCCAAGACAAGCAATCTGGATGACCCCGGAAGCAGCACAGGCAGTCGTCCAGAAGGAAGCTTAGAGAAAGCTACTCTGTGCTCCTTTAGAGAAACAACTCTGTGCCACGGGCAAGAGGAATAACTCTGGGACCTCTCGAGGTTCCAAACCCAGTGAGAAGGTAAGTGGGTTAAGGAGTAGCTCCCTGGAGGGAGAGGCAGCATCTGGGATTATGTGACTATTCAAACACAAAGAGACCCTTAAGATTCAGAGGCTGGCACAGAAGCCGCAAGGGAGATGTCACCCTCCCAGGGTCAGGATGCCTCTGCCCTCGCGCGGAGAGCCAGCCCTGACCCTGACCGAGAGATCACCTCGTGACATGAACCAGGCCATGCTTTGCAGGCCTTTAAAGCAAATGAAGGTCCACGTAGACGCCTTGATCGGGAGACTCTACAGATGCATCAAGCAAAGACCTCTCAAGCTCTGGCTGAGACACGCCAGAGACCAGATTCCATACAGAAACTAAAGTAAGTGCTAGGAAGTGAGAATCCATGGTCCCTTTCAATAGTGAGCCCTTAGTAAGTTTTTCAGCTAAGTGACGGTGCTTTTCAGGAGCACACGGTAGATCCCGGTGGGATCTGAGTCGCACCCAGCGTTACTGTAAACACATCTGCCTGAGCCTCAGGAATTGACCTAAGTGGAATCTCAGCTTGTTCTCAAAACTTTGCTCCTCTTCTTAAGGAATGAAGAGACACGTTTTTAAAGGGAAAAAAGGTTAATTGACTACCGGGGAGACTTCTTGCCAAGGCCCTTGTCAGGCTCTTACGGCTCCACCCTCCAGACCACTCTGTCTGGGTTGAGAAGAGAATTTCTCTAACCGTGTGGAAGAGCCTCCCTCGCTGGGTCCAGAGTCAGGACAGCCACTGGGCTGTTTCAGAGCCTGTGTCATCATAAATATCATTAATCACTTTACCTTCTGTGCCCAGCCTGGGGATATGCAAATTCTTTCAACCCTAGTAGACTAACTTCATGCATCTGCTAAAAGCACTGGCTCCTTTTATTGCCACAGTAAATGAAGATAACAGACAAGAGACCTGCTGTAGACATTTATTGAATCATCTGTTGTACCAACACTACATTGTACTTCATAGAAGACTGGCCACAGGCAAAATAAAATAAACCACCACAGAACAGCTTGGGGGTGGGGGGGAGGCTTTTTGGCTCATGAATCGTCCAGCATACGCTTTGGCAAACAGGCCAGTTTATAGACTTTTCTTGCAAATCCAAGGTTCCATTTCTCTCTGTGCCTTTCTGGCAACGGAGATACACAACTGTACTCTTGTAGTTTGTCTAAGGTGGAGTTTTCCCACGTGTAAACAATGACCATACCAGGTGATCAAAGAGTTGCCGGAGCTTGTGCCCTTGCGGAGCGTATGATATAAACAGGGTGCGGAGACACCCTGGTGCTGGGGCTGTAGCAGAGCCCGGAATGCCCACGGAAGGGAGCAGGGAGCCCTGCTGGTAAGGCGCCCAACACAGCCACCTGCTCTGAGAAGCAGCATCGCCTGAGGCAGGACCCACCACAAAAGCTGTTTTAGAAATCTGGGCAATAGGGGAGACAAGCTCCCTTTCTCGAAGGCAGCATTTAGGTGTGAGAAAGGCAGCCGTTAAAAAAAAAAAAACAGTAGTCAGATTTGGAAATTCTATTAATGTCTTCATTTAAGTAAACTGTGTCTTGTCTCAAACAGTGTCATGCTCCTCAAAGCCCAGAAAACGAGGAAAACAAGGAGAGAGCATTCACCAAGTCCAAGAAGCACAAGATCGATGCTGTAATCACGTTATTTCTAGACAGAAGCCAAACGGTGACTCAGCTAACAGCATTATACACTCATGGGGTTGGGGGAATTAATCCGATTCTGACTTGGTCCCAACTTCCTGCAAAGATGGGCCCCAGGTAGGAGAGGATGAGGCTTTCCTCCTGATTAGGCAGCCCCTACCCTCCCTATGGAAAGGGAAAGGGGGCAACAGCGGCAGCTTTTTGTTTAAAGCAAAAAGGCTTGTGTCCTGGGCCTCTTGTCAGAGCAGCGCCTGAGTGAGCTCCGAGGGTGGGCAGCTGGCTCGCGAGGCCGGCCCCCGCGGGGAGGGGAGCCCCTGCAGGCGCCATACGGCCCGCAGCGCCCGCTGAGGCCCACCTCCTGTCTCTTCTTCGGGCTGCTGGGCCCCAAAGGCAAAGAAAGCCGCCCTGGGGCTAAGGGGTTAAAGAAAGAGAAGGCTGCAGAGCGCAGCTGGGCCCAAGCCACGCGTCCAGAGCTTCCCAAGGGCCAGTCCCTCCCCTCTCCTGGGGAACCCTGCCCTGACACCAGCATATTTTACACATAATATCACTTGCTCCGCTGCCAAAGGCTGGGCCCGCAAGACTCCTGGTTGGAGTTCGGCGTCACACAAAGCAAGTCTTGGCCTCGCCGGGCCCGGCGCTGAGCCCCGCCTTCTCCGCGGACACAGCCCAGGCCCCCGCTGCCCCGAGCGGGGAGCCGCCTCCCCCTCTCCAACCCCTTTAAGGATCTGTGCTTCTGCGACCAGGCCCAGCCGCCCAGAACCCTACCCAAAGCTGCTCCATCTGAGGGGGTGGCAGAGGCAAGGGGGGCGGGGGTCTGTGCAGGACTAACACGACGGCAGCGGCGGCGGCGGCAGCAGCGAGGAGGGGAAAGCGGAGGGGGCCTGAACCCCGGAAATCAGCGCTCAGGGAGGAGGGCTGCCCCACCCCCGCTCCCCACCCCCGGAGCCTCGGCGGGTGCGGGACAGACACCTGTCGGGGCCCCGAAACGGCGGAGACCGCCTCGGGGGACAGGACGGGATGGCACGGGGCGCGCGTCACTGGGAGCTGGGGCTGTCGCCCTCCGTCAGCGTCTTGAAGTCCATGGAGAGCGCTTGCTCTTCCGCCTGGAGGGGCCGCTTCCAGTCGGCGCGGGTCAGGATGTAGAGCACGACCGCGCCGAAGGTGGCCAGCAGCAGGCCCAGCACGTTGGCCAGGACGCCCTCGGGCTCGAACTTGCTGTACTTGGTCCTGCGGGATTTGGGCGGAGGGCGAGGCCACCCGAGGCGTCGCCGTTAGGCCGAGTGCCATTCGCCCCGGCCCACAAGATGCAATGCGATCCCAAGCCCAACCCCGGCCCCCCACCCCCACCCCCACTGGGAGAAAAGCCGCTGTTCGGCGGCCCCACACAGAGCCGCCGGGAGGGGGCGCTCACCCGAGCTTGAACAGCAGCGCCTCCTTCAGGCCCAGCAGGGCGGTGCCCACCGAGAGGAGGAAGATGGCGCCGCCAAGGAAGACGTGCTGCGGCCGGTAGCGGCTCCGCAGAGAAAACGACGCGCCGGGGAACAGGAAGAAGCTACAGCCCATGAGCCACTGGGAGGAAAGGCGAGGTGCTGCCGGAGGCTGAGCTGCGCTGGAGACTGGAGCCCGAGGACGCCCCAGGTGGGCCGCCGCCCGCGAGGACCAAAGGCCCCGCCACCCCCGCGCGGTGGCCTACGGCCCGGAGACGCAGCGGGAACGCTGAGCACGTGGGGAACGTGGGCCGGCGCTCTAGGCCGGTCTCAGCCCCACACTGTGCGCCCCGAGGCGGGGCCTGGGACCAAATCCACGTGCCTGTCGGCCGGAAGGGCGCCGGAAGGACGCCGGTCGGAGGCAGCGCTCGGCGGGCTGGAGCGCCTTTCGCCTGTGCGCACACCTGGCCCCGGCCCTGTTTGGGCCCTGCTCCCCGCCCCTCCCCAGCGCCGTGGAGCCGCAAGGACTCACCTGCACAAAGAAGAGGACGAAGACCAGAATGCCACACCAGCTGTGCAGGCTGTACAGGTCGGCGTAGCCTTCCTTCCTGTGGTAGTCGAACACCGCCACCAGGCCTAGCCGGAGGGGGTCGCGTGAGGACTGGGCTGATGGCGACGGAGGGGGTGCGGTGACCCAAGGGAAACCCGACCCGCCGGGACTTCTGGGCTCCAGTCCCAGCTCGGTAGCTGCCAGCACCAGTGTCCCTGCCCGGAAGGGGGAGGAGGGGTGGGGAGGGGGGACTGGACAGTAAAGCAGCTCCTTCCCCAAGTCAGCAGAGGTGGGGGAAGGAGGGCGGGCCCGTGCCTGGAACTCACCCACCAGGGCGATGACGAAGGCGAAGACGTGCAGCAGCCCGTGCAGAACTTTGGTGGTGCGTTTGGCCTCATTCCTGAAGACGCGGTAAACCAGCAGGGCTGGTGGGCCGTGAGAAAGGGAATGTCAGGGCGCTAAGCCGAGCACGAGGCCTTCCTGCCAGGGCAGCGAGGAGACACCCCCGGCTGGAGAGGGGAGGGCTTGTCCAGGTACCCCAGCCACAGGAAGTGGGGGAGGAAACAAGGATCCGTATGCCCCCGCACCGCCCACCCCCTTCTTAGCTGTCCTGTATCCCAGGCTTTGTTTTAGGCTCATCGTGCAGTCACATCAAGGTGCCACCAGGCTTCTGAGTTCACCTCTTAGCTATGATGGTCCTCAGGTTGTATAGCACTGAAGCCAGATCAGCCTTTCACTACTCTTAGCCAGCAGGCTCCCTGGTTGGGAAACCCCAGGTTCTCAAAGAACTTTGCAGCCCCTAGCTAACTCCCCCTCTTCGGGCTGAAGCAGTCAGGGCCAGGGGTCCTGCGGAATGCCTCTCAGGAGTGTGCTGCTGAGGAGGTGGCTGTCACCAGGACCACATCTAGGAAGAATGCATAGATCCAGCTTGCTTGTTACCAAAAGGAGAAGGTCAAGGCCCCCTGGCCTTGAGGCAGGGTGGGGGCCAGCCACGGCCTGAATCCTACCCCAGAGAGAGGAGCTCTAGCTCCTCCAAGTCCAGCGTCTACACACACACGCACGTACCCTCACGCTCACACTCACGCTCACTTTCTCTCCCTCAATTTCAAGCCGCCTCTGCAGAAGATGGGCTTTGCTCACAGCCCAGCCCCTGGGCCTCTGTGTGCAGCACACACACCTTCAGATGCTCCTTGTTGAAGCACGAGGTGAAAGCTCTGGGATAAGTCAGAAAGGAGTTACCACCCACCAGCCGTGGGGCCCTGGATCTGGATTCCCAGTGTCCCCAAGGTCCAGGCCAGCTTCCTTCTCTTACTGGGCAGATTCAGGTGTGAAAGGGTCCCTGCACATCTCCTCTCTCAGGTGGCATCGCCCAGGGACTCACCATCTCCCTGCAAGAAGACCAGGCCTATGACCATGCAGAGAGGATGCGCGTTGAACTGCAGGGCGCTCTCCCAGGCGATGCCTCCTCGGTACACACCGAGCCAGGTGCCAGTCATGGCCACCACGGCCAGGCCCAGCAGCTGGGAGAAGGCCACATAGTAAAGCAGGGCCGCAGGGGCAGGTGCTGGGCGGGCAGGGCTGTCCATGCTGAGGCGACTCTATGCCGAGGCGACTGCTGCAGGGAAGATGGTGGAGCTTAGAGGAGCGGCCCACAGCCTCCAAAAAGACATCGCAGGCCTCCCTTGCCCACCTCTGCCTCCTCCCTCGGCCCACAACCCCAGGCCTCCGTGAGAGTGCTCCCGGAGCACCCGGCGGGGGTGGGGCGCCTTCCTGCAGAGACTGACCCACACCTGGCTGCACTTCCACCTGCAATGAGGGAGCAAGTCAAAGTCCTCCAAGCTCTGGCCGGAGCAGGAGGGCCCAGTGCCAGTGCTTTACTTTCTGTTTCAGGAGGCCCTGGGTTTTCTCAGGTGGGGTTCACAGGTGAAACAGAGAAGTGAGCAAATTCCTTGAAGGTGCTGGAATTTTTCCTCCAGATGAATCATAAAGGACATCTAGGGTGAGAAATGAGGAACCTGACTCCCCCGTGCCTGCTTTTTCAGCTCCCAGCTGGAGATGAAAGAAGTCCTGCCCACAGAGAGCTGCAGGGCAGCTGCCGGTAGAAGGAATGTTCTCTGAGCCGCTTCAGTAGAAAGGACCAGGCGACAGGAGCCTCCGAGCTGCCCGTTTCCCTTCCTGCCTCGTCTTCCCCTCCACACCTGGGGCGTGGGCCTGCGCCCCTCCCTCAGGCCAGGCTTCCTGAACTGAGATCTACAAGGTGAGAACTCCTGGGGTCACTTAGCGCACAGGGATCCTGTGAGAAAAGGTGTGTCACTGCTCCCGTTTTGCAGACAGGGAACCGGGGGCTCAATGGGGTTTGGGGAAGCGAGACTCAGGGCCAGTGGGAGGCATTTCCTGGCTCCTCTGCCCAGTCCCCAGTGTCTCCACAGCCTCGCCCGGGCTCAGGGTGGCCTGTGTGCCGGCTCTTCCCTCTGAACCTGCTGGTTCTCCCCACACCCAGGCGGGAGAGGCACTGGAAGATGGGAGGAGAGGAGGCGGTTGATGAACAAGTATGGTGTCCATTTGCTGGGCCTCGGTGCTGGCGGCCTGGGGCCACAGAAAAACGCTGCTGCAGCTCCCAGAGGGCCGAGCACTGCATCCCATCTTGCCTCTCCCACTGCCCCAGCCTCTCCCAGCAGCTCTGGAGACACCCTCCTTCTCCTTCATTACCAGCAGAGAACAGCAGCTGAGCAGAGATGTTTAACTAACCAATTTTGGGGTCCCCCCTAAAAGCGAGCACACACCCTGTACCCTGTGCTGCTCAAGAACTAGTTTCCAGCTGGCCTGGCCTTGTCCTCCTGGGGACTGGGCTGTCTTTACCCCCAGTTCTCTCTGCCACCTTTGACAACTGTTGGCAATTCCATCATTTTTTAAAAAGGGGGGCAGGCCGTGTAACACACCTCCCTGCAGTAAAATACGGATAAGCAAAAAAGAGAAAAATTACAAGTAATCAACATTTTGATTTATATCCTTTTTTTCTGGAAATACATGTACCTTCTTTCATAGAAACATGACCATACCAATTTCTAACCTGCTTTTTTCACTTCATTATAGATCATGCACATCTTTACATGTCAGTACATGACAGGCTATTTCATATTTTAACCAATCCCCTAATCTCCTGTTGTTAAATATTTAGCCAGCTTTCACTAAATAAACAACACTGTGATCATTTTTGTACAACACTCGTCTAATTCCTAAATGAAGAAATAGAATCCTGAGCAAGGGCTAGGTTCTTTTTTAGGTTTTGGATACATTCTGTCAAATCATCTTCCAGAAAACACTCCCAAGGCAGGTGGGAACACCTGTTTCCAGAAGCCGTGGGCAACAGTGAAGCCATATTTCTGGAACTCTTGCCCTCGTGCTTATCTGTCACCTCTACACTGATGACTTCTAAATCTAGTGCCAGTCTGTCCTCTCCCCCAAATTTAAACCCCATTTCTAACTGTCCACTAACATCTCTACCTGGACATCCCTCCAACACTTCAAACTCAGCACATCCAAAGTTACACTCCTCCCCTGACCTCCCAGGTCGCCCTTCGAGTCCCAGTGCCGAGTCCTCCTGCTTCTCCCCCACGTCTCGCCATCGCTTCCCTCTTGACCATCTTCATTTCCACCACCCAGCAGGGCCTGGAGCTTCTGCCCCCGTCTCCCTACCCTCCTCAATCTGCCTGACCGACAGGGACAAAGCCAGATCCCAGTTATGTTGCCCCACCAGGCACAAAGAGCCACCAGCGTGTGGTGGTCAAATGCCAGCTCCATCACTGACCCTAACCCAGAGCCCACCGGCAGCCCCCACTGTTCTCCTACCACGTCCACTCGGAAGAGATGCTCCCAGTTCCCCAGCTCTGGCAGCACGGCCTGTTGTTATCCCCTCCACCTCACACCCCGGCTCCTCCTCTTCCGCCTCTGTCGATTTGCTCCACGACCTGAAATGGGCCTTTTGTTCACCACTCTGTCCCCCTCCTCTCTGTTCCCAAGGCTGGCCTGGCGCTTACTTACCCTCGGTGTCCTGCCTCACGTTAAGCCCTGTGAGCCTCTCTGCTGCAGGGCCCTGTGAGCTCCCAGAAGGCGGGGAACGCATCTACCTCCCCCTCGGGAATCTCATCCTTGGGCCGACTCTGACAGGAAGAGTGTACTGAACTGAGAAATGCTGTCCTCCTCTGCTTTATTAGATTCCTCCCCGAGAGCCTGGGGCGCAGTCAGAATCCGATTAGCTCTGAATTAGGAAGACTGGAAGGAACGTGCTCTGCCCCGGCAGACCTGCCACAGCGTCCCCGCCGAGTAGCCACTGAGTACAGAGGGGGAGCTCAGGGCTGCAAAGACTGCCACTCCTGGGTCCCGAGCCGCTCTGTGGTGACGCATGCCAGAGCCAGATGCCCCCCCACCCCCAGCCAACCTCCTCGTGAGTCGGGCAGAAATCAGACTTCTCTTCACAGCCATGATAGTGTGATGTTAATAAGAAATATATGGGACTGAGCCTGTAAAACGCTAGGAATTTTCCAGGTGACAAAGCAATCGTTTCTTTTGTTATGTTAATATTACATCTTGTTACTGAAGCCCCTCGGAAACCTGAGGGTGGGGCTGGTTACCAGGGGAACCAACCACGTGACTGGAGGGTTGGAACGTTCAGTCCCACCCTTGACCTCCAGGGAGGGAGAAGGGCTGGAGACTGAGTGCAGCCACCAGTGGCCAATGATTTAATCAATCGGGCCTGTGTAATGAGCCCTCCATAAACCCCCTAAAGGACGGGGTTTGGAGAGCTCCCAGGTTGGTGAACACATCCACATGCCGGGAGGGTGGTGCACCCCAGTTCCCCGGGGACAGAGGCTCCTGTGCTCCGGACCCTTCCAGACCTTGCCCTACATACCTCTTCATCTGGCTGTCCCTGAGTTACATCCTTTTATAACAAACCAGCAATCTAGCAAGTTTCTCTGGGTTCTGTGAGCTGCTCTAGCAAATTAATTGAACCTGAGGAAAAGGCCGTGGGAAGCTCTGATCTATAGCCTGTTGTTCAGCAGCACAGGTGACAACCTGGACTTGCAATTAGCATCTGAAGTGGGTGGGGGCAGTGTTGTGGGACTGAGCCCTGTGGGATCTGACGCCGTCTCCGGGGAGGTAGTGTCAATGTTGAATTAAATTGTAGGACACCCAGGAGCATCTGCTGAGAAATGGAGACTCGCTTGGTGGTGTTGAAAAGAAAACACGTGGGAACAGCACAGTGACTGAATACATGGCTTTAATGTCCTCACTGAAAACTCACAACCTGAATTCCCTTCAGAGTCCAAACCCTAGTGCTGTCTGCACCCCAGGGTGGTGGAGTTGCGAGCCTCAGGGGTAGGGAGCCCCGCTCTGTACTCAGTTCAATCTTCGCAATAACCTATGGTGATAACAGGAGTATTACCCCAATTTGACAGATGAGGAAATTGGGACTCAAAAGAGGATAAATGACTTGCCCCAAATCAGCCGCAGCAAAGAAGTGCTCAGCTCAGTTGTTTATCAAGCGCCTGCGATCTGGGGGTGACACTGCTGGATACAGATGAGCCATGGCCCCGCCTTCCAGGACCTTGCAGACAAGGTGCAGAGCAGATGCCGATTCTAGAGTAAAGGGCCGTAACAACTCAGGCTATGAGTTAAACTCCCAGTGCACTTACCACAGTCCACGCTGGCTTCACCACACTGGGGTGGCCACTCCTTTGGATTTCCTACAGGGCTTGCCTGCTCGGGGTGTGGCTCTGCACTTTCTCAGGCCAGTAACTAGGGAAGAAAGGAATACTTCCTGAATACTGAAACCAGTATTCAGAGGATCTGAATCTGCTTGGAGGCAGGGTTCCAGGAAGGCCTCTCCCCTCACACGCCAGTCCTCCTGGGCCCTCCCCACCCCTTGGGGAACCATGCTTCTAAGGCAGTTTACACCCACCATAGCATCAAGCATTGGTGTCCCCCATGGGCTCTCCTGGGAGAAAAGGCTGCAGGATGGAAACAGGTGGGTTAGAGAGAAGAGGTGATGGGGACAAACTAGCTGCAAGATCTTCATGCCAGCTGCTCCAAAGGCATCTCTCCTGGTCCCTGTGCCCTGGTAACTAGGCATCCCAGAGGAAGCCAGAGATAAAAGAATGACCTTTGGACTCATGGAGGCCTAAGCAGTCTCCCTTCCAATTTGAAGGTGATTCTAAATCCAGGTATGAGGGATGACAGGAAAACACACACAGAAAGACCAGTCCTCCTCGGGCAGGCCTGTAGCTTCCCCATAGGTGACATCACAGCCAATAAGATCTAAGTGAAAAATCCAGATTTACAGAAAAGACAAAGCCTCAAGTGGTTCTGTGCTTCACAGAAGATGAAAGACCCCTTCAGCAATGCCGTTGCCCTATTGCTTATTCGGTTCAACATAACTGTCGACGTACCTTTGTACACAGAGGGGCTGCTTCCGATGATGGGGGATACAAAGAAGACATTTCAAGGACTCTGGTTGGAATCTGACTCACCCACAAACACATTTGCAAACCTTGAAATCAGTTGAGATTCACTCCCTAGTAAGCAGATTTTTTTTTTTTTTTTTTTTTTGTGCGGTTCGCGGGCCTCTCACTATTGTGGCCTCTCCCGTTGCGGAGCACAGGCTCCGGACACACAGGCTCAGCGGCCATGGCTCACAGGCTCAGCCGCTCTGCGGCATGTGGGATTTTCCCGGACCGGGGCACGAACCTGTGTCCCCTGCATCAGCAGGCGGACTCTCAACCACTGCGCCACCAGGGAAGCCCAGCAAATATCTTTTATTCTGCTCCCTCATTTCCCAGTCTAGACAGTGGGAACATTCTCTTGCCCTCCCTCCCTCCCTCCCTTCCTCCTTTCCTTCCTCCTTTCCTTCCTCCTTGCCTCCTTTCCTCCTTTCCTGTGGAACACCAGAACACTGGCTGCTTTGGGATCTCCTGTGTTCCCAGCGCAGCAGTACAGGCAGCAATGTCAACAGTCTGGAAGCAGCCCATCTACACCCCCAAAGGCTTCCTCAGCCCAGTAGACCAGAGTCTCAGAACCAGGGCGAGCTCTTGTGGATCCTTACCCGGCCACCCTCCTTCCTGTCAGAGCACAGGATGGGGATGTCAGATCTCTGGCAGCTTTTGGGACCTTGGGCTGTGACAGTCACCCCTCCCCTCCCACACACACCTGCAGCCAGACTCCACTTAATGTGATCAACCAGGGCCAGGAGCTGCCGCAGGGCTTGAACGTGCTTACGAGCATCCCTCTCCCTCCCTGAGCCCAGCGGCTTTCACTGAAAGGCCACCAGGCCTAATCTCATTATGGGGACCAGACACCGCAGAAGTGCCACAGCCTGGAAGCAGGGAGCCTGGCCTGACCACAGCCTCCTTATCCGAAGCAGGGTTTTAATTGGGTTAGAAAAGATTGTGTTGGGGGCTAGATCTTTTCTTGATGGGTGAGGGGGAGAAACGACTCAATTGTCCTAGAATGTCCTCGAATGTGATCAAAGAAAAGGCAAAATGAGGGCTGAGCTGTTAGGTGGAGCACTTTCTTACTACCCACACCCAAGTAACCCCTGGGTAGAAAGCGTGAAGTCAGACACTGAGCCCAGTTCTCCACTGGGCCCAGGGACTCAGTGTTGGGGCTCCCAGTACTTGTGGGGACTCACAAAAAATGTTTTGATTTCTGTTAAAATCATAAGAAAAAACAAACTTCTAGGGTTGAAAAAAATATTTTAATTTTTAATCCAGCCTGGATTATATTCATCTTTATACCAATATGGTTGTAAAATATAATTCTCTTTTTTTTTTTAATTTTTTTTTTTTCTGCGGTACGCGAGCCTCTCACTGTTGTGGCCTCTCTCGTTGCGGAGCACAGGCTCTGGACGCACAGGCTCAGCAGCCATGGCTCACGGGCCCAGCCGCTCCGCGGCATGTGGGATCTTCCCGGACCGGGGCACGAACCCGTGTCCCCTGCATCGGCAGGTGGACTCTGAACCACTGCGCCACCAGGGAAGCCCTCTCTTTATTTTTTTATGGAGGAAGGGGAAAGTCACAATGCAGCCCTGGTCAGACGGATATGATTTCAAAGCCAGCCCCACTGTTCATGACTGTGTGCGCCCGGGGTGGGGGGTGGCGGGCAAGCACCCTCTCTGAGCCTGCTTCCTCTTCCATAAGGTAGGGGGATGTTGAGAGCCACCTAACTGGCCTGTAGCAAAGATTAAACAGGATAGATATGTACCAGTGCCTAGCACACTGCCTGCCACATAGGTATTCATTCAGTTAAATAGCAATCTAACAAAAACTAAACCTGTTCCTAATAGCACCTTAGGAAGAGTCATGCATCCGAAGCTGCTGACACATGAGGTTTGGGGCCACAGAGAGCCAGATGGCAGCAGACAGCACGACCCCTTGTAATAAATCCATACCCCGCCTTCTGTCTACCATGAATCCCCCCACTGGGCAGAAACCCCTGGATCTGGCGTGAATTCCTCCACCAAATTCTTCCAGTGCTGCTGAACCCCTTTGTATTAGAAGCCACCCAAGCTCTGCCTGCCAAGGGAAGGTGGCGCAGGCAGGGAAGAAGTGGAACAAGCAGGGCATCCACTCAGGTCCAGGAGGCTCCTCCTGCCCTGGGGGCGGGGTTGTAGCAGCCCTTCTCTGTATGGGGCTCCCCTCGGCATTTACAAGTTGCCTATATTTTCTGCCTCAATCCAGTTTCACAGGAGAAATCAAGATATGTATGAGAAGGTAGCACAGCTCTGTAGGGTGTTGTTGTTTGTTTTGTTTTCCATTTGCTATGAAAAGGAAGGAACTGGGCTTCCGTGGTGGAGCAGTGGTTAAGAATCCGCCTGCCAATGCAGGGCACACAGGTTCGAGCCCTGGTCCTGGAAGATCCGACATGCTGTGGAGCAACTAAGCCCGTGAGCCACAGCTACTTAGCCCACGTGCCTAGAGCCCGTGCTCCACCACAAGAGAAGCCACTGCAATGAGAAGCCTGCACACCGCCATGAAGAGTAGCCCCCGCTCGCTGCAACCAGAGAAAGACTGCGCGCAGCAACGAAGACCCAACACAGCCAAAAATAAAATAAATGAATTTATATTAAAAAAAGAAAGAAAACGAAGGAACAGAATCCAGATAAGATAGAGCTTCATTTAATGAGTCTTAGAAAATCCTCAAAGCCAAGGTAGAGTGAGAGTGGAGAGGGGCGACCAGAAGGGAGAAAGACTTGGGAGGGGTGCCAGCTCCTAAAGACATGTCTGGGACTCCAGGGTCCACCTGGATCCTCCTCTCTGTGGTGCCCTGGGGGGAAGGGCAGACAGAGAGGGGAGGTACCCCCCCACCATTCCCAGGTGTCTAAGGCAGCAGCAGATCCCTTCCTCAGCTCAGTTCTGCATCCCCTGTACCCACAGTTCAGGGGCTACCAAGGCTAACCCAAGGAGTAAGGATTTCCCAAACGGGAAACTCCTTGCACCCAAGAGGCTGGAGATGTTGGAGAAGAACAAGGAAGGGCTCTACTAGCTAGACATCTCACGCCGAGAGGAAAGAGGCAGAGGGAGGGAGGCCGCTCCACTAGCGAAGCAGTTTGGCAGCTCGGTCTCAGGTTTCAAAAGAACAGTCGTGGCAAATGCTGGTTGATCCACTTCTATGCCACCTAGTTTCTAGAGTAGGGCAAAACATTACGCCGTACATAAACTTGGGATCACCTGCCGCTCCGTGCTAACTTCCGCGGAGACTGGGCACAGAGGCTGACCCGGGGCCGACGGCTGACAGCTCCAGGCAGGAGTGGGATGAGCTCCTAACCTCGGGCCTTGCTCGGTGGCCCCGAGCTGGGGGAAGCAGGTGAGGTGAGTCAGGTGTGGAGGCAGGAGAGGGAAAGAGAAAGACTGGCTGCGGCGCCGGGATCCCGGCCTGTCCCGGCGCGGGCGCGGTCCCGTCCCAGGCCGAGCACACCTGAGCTCGCCGTCCCCCCGCACACACCCGGGGCCCCTCCCGACTCCGCGCCGAGCCTCGACTCTCCCCCACCCGCCCCGGCCACCTACCTGGCTGGACGTCGAGCCCGGACCTTGTCCTCGCTGCGCAGCGTCGGGCTGCCGCCTGGCCCGCGAGCTGCCCGCGCCACGCCCGGGCTGTTCTGCCGGTTCGGCCAGCCGCGCGGACTTCGGGGCTACCGCGTCTCCATGGCGACCGGGCGGCTGCAGCGGGTTGGCAGCCCGGCGGACTACGCGACGGGCGGGGGGGCGGGGGCGCGGGGACCGGAAGTGCCCCCGGCGGGTCCGCGCACCTGGGACCGGGCCCGGCCCCCCAAGGTCCCGGGTCTAGGGACAGGGTCCCGCCAGCCTCCGGGCCCGAGCCTTGACGCCCGCGTGCTGGGGCCTGCGGCGCGAGAACGGCGGCCACCGTGACCCGGCCTCCGGACCCGAGCGCGGGTAACCTTCGAATCCGGGCCTCACGACCTGGCTTCCCGGGTCCGCCACGTTCGGGGGCGTATGGGGTTCTGCGACCCACCCGTGGGTGTGGGAGGCCTCCAAGTCCAGGCCTGACTCGGAGGCCGAGGGCGAGGCTGAGGGGGAATGGGCTGCTGGGGCTGCCAGGGCCGGGCCCTGGGCAGAGGGAAGGGGGATGCTGGCCGGGAGAACGGGAGAACAGGCCCCCTGCTCTTCCCGCGCCCTGCCCCGGGCTCAGGTGGCCACTAGGTGTCAGGCGTGGCCGGACCTTGGCCTACCTTGCCGCTCCTGCAGCCCTGAGGGACTCACCCCTTCCTTGCAGCCGATGGTGGAGGTGTCACTCTGCAGGGAGGCTGGGCTCACCCCTTCTCCAGGTCCGCAGCACCCGCTCTCACACACACACACGCACACACACACACACACACACACACACACACACACACAAACGGCGCGCGCGCACTAGGTGATGTTGCCAGGCTATAGCGCCCACCCCACACACACCCCCTCCAGCAGCCTAAAGATAAATACCAGTTCTCACCAGCCTTTCGTGAAGGCCTAGACCTTGCCATGGGCAGCCTCCCCGGCCCCAGACGCTAAGAGAGGAAGGAACCAAGGCCACGGCTGGGAGCCAGGCCCTAGTGCAGTCCCGTCCAGGCCCCTATCCAGGAAGTGCTGTGGGTAGATAACAAGTCCAGCTCAGACTTCCTACAAGCTCAGAACAAAAGGTTCTTTCCTGTCGGCAGGACTCACCGAGGGCCTGGTGGTAGTAGGGAAATGGGGTTTCCTCCCCTGGAGACATAAAAGAACCTCGGCAAAGGGACATCACCCCCACCCCCTGCCCCAGCACTGTGGGCTTCCCAAGGGCCCTGGCCAAGGTGGGCCTTGGGGATCCAATACCTCCTGACAGAGAGAACATACTCTCAAGCCAAGGCAAGACACCTAAGGGTGCCCACTGCCCTGGGCACACCTTCCGATGGGGCAAACCCAGCTGGGCCCCCGCCCTCAGAGTGACCAAGCTTAAACCCGCCACAAACAGAAGTTTTGTTGGGGTAGCTTTCCAGCTGGAGGGAGTTAATGGACATTTTAAATTAAGAAACAGCTTCCTTCACAGGCCGGTAGGCAAACAGCAGGCAACAAGTGTCTTGTGAGTTGAGTCCTTGGAAAGGAGCCATTTCCCGTTCTTTGGCCTGCGTATTTGAGGAGGACTGGGGTGGGCTGGGCTGCACAAAGGAGCAGAGCCTCACTGGGGACCTGATTTGAGTTTCCTGGTGTAGGGCTTTCAACCCGTTCCAAAGCCAGGAGAGAGACTCCTGCTGCGGTGAGATGGAGCCCTTTGCGTCCTCCCCACCCCGTGGCCCTGTGGCCCTGGGCTGCAGCATTTTACCCGAAAAAGGAGCGCACACCTGGCTCCCAGCAGTGCTCTCGGGAGGGCATGGAGGTGGCTCTCCACAGGGACCAGTCACATGGGGTCTTAGCTCTAAGCACTCATGGCTCCATGCCATTTTTAAGAGCTAGAGACCCCACCAAACTGCAGTCAAGAAGCAGGCCCCGTGGCTTTGCCGCTGCTGCCAGAATCCCTAACCCCAGACGGCAGACACTCACTCCCTTCCTCCCCCATCTTTGCTGCTGAGACTCAGCCTTGGAGGCCAGAGAAGCATCCACCCTACAGCTGGGGGCGGTGACCAGCAAGGAGTGCAGCCTTAAGTCCCCTTCCTGGAGACCACGGATGTGGCCCAAGGTCTTCCATGTAAACCCCTCCCTTCCTGCACTCACTCCACTCCACTAGCCTTTATGTTCCTCAGACTCACCAAGTTCACACCCACTCTCCTTTGGAACATTCTTCCCCAGTCATCACTTGGCTCATTCCTTCAAATCTCAGCTCAAACATCCCCTCCTCAGAGAGGCCTTCCCTAACCGTCCAGTCCAGTAGCCTGGGTCAGGGGTTGAGATGCAGGGAGATACAGTGGATTAAGTGTGCGAGTGACAGCCCTGGGAAACCACGTCTTGAGCTCACCTTGTTCTTTGCCCAAAAGCATTTAAAGAGCAGGAAGGACCCAGATAGTGAACAGAATGTACCTTGTAGAAGGACCTCAGACCCCCTAGCACCTGGCGCATCATGTCTGCCTTGCTAGGGTTCCCAGACTTAAAAAGAAGGAAAATACCCCAGGATGCCCCATTCCATCTGAAATTAATATTTTTTTGGCATAAGTATGTCCCACGTATGACATGCAATATACTAAAAATGTATTTGCTGTTTATCCAAAATTCAAATCTAACGGGGCGCCCTGTATTTTGTCTGGCAATCCTACCCTTGCTCCTGTGTGGGAAGGACAGAGGGCCTCCCAGCAGTTCCGGCCCCTCCCAGCAAAGCGTCCCTACCCCAGCAGGCGGAAACACCCAGTTAACTCCTGTTCAGCACACACTTTAGCCAGAGGCTTTAATCTTGGGCTGCAGTGAATACCAAAGGCATTGGAGATGGGGCTCCCCAGTCCTAACGCACTGTAAGATGCAAACACACACAATTCATTCACTCTTTACAACAGTTTTTATCTAGTCCCTTCAGTGTGCCAGGCGCTGGGTGACACTGGGTATAACAGTGAACAGGACAGGCACAGCCCTGTTCTCTTCAGGCCCTAACAGTGCATAGAAAGGGCGCCTAACCCAGATGTGAGGGTCAGGGAAGGGTTCTGGGGCATGGCATAGAATCGTAGAGCTGCAGGGCGAGCAGGGGTAACCTGGCGAAGGGACAGCAGGGTGAGAGCAGGAGTGTTGGCTGGAAGGCAGGTGAGGAGGCCCAACCAGTACTGCTGGACTAGGAATCAGGAATCCATACGCCTGAACCAAACCCTGTGCCAGCTCTGGGAGGTGGGCATGGCCACTCGGGTGGCAAATACTCGAAGGACACATCTGCTAACCTATATTCTGAGGGTGAGAGCATCCTTCAGCGGGGGTGGCATCGTCAGGTCCGCTTCCTGGGGGACTTGCCCCAACTTGCTAGAAAAGAAAACTGATTTGAATCTGAAAGTACATGGCTACTTTGATGAGTTTAAAATGGAACAATAATCACTCAGGGGGAAAATCCTATCTTCCAGCCTCAGGGGCAGCAAAGGAGGCCAGAAAATCATCGGCAGCCCGAGCAGAAGCAGCAGCGATGGTGGCGGGAGCGGCAGCACGCGGGGGACTGACCACAAAGCTCCCAGTGAAGACGGTGAGTCACCTGCGACCTCCAGCATGCGTGGGGATGGGGCTGAGGGGTGTCACAGGCTGTGGGTTCCCGGCTGACCCACAAAGTTGGTCCAAGTCTGGGAAAACAAGACTTAGATAAACAAGAGTCCACAAGCCAAGAGAACACTGCAGGTTGGATGGAGAAGCGATGAGAACGAAACAGTCAGGCCAGCTTTCACTGCTGCTGGCCCTGAGCGAACAGACGTGGGAGGCATAAGCGGCCAGGGTGGTGCAGGGGACTGGCCCAGTGCAGGAGGTGGCAAAACAGCACTGGGCACCTGAAGTGGGTGGCAGTGGAAGGGGTGGGCTTTCCCAGCCTCTCAGGGAGCTCTGTGCAGCCCCCTGGGGGAGGGAGGGATCAGGAGGAAGTCCATTTTTCCTCCCTTCCTCCCTCCCTCCCTCCCTCCCTTCCTCCCTCCCTCCCTCCCTCCCTTCCTCCCTCCCTCCCTTCCTCCCTCCCTTCCTTTCTTCCTTTCAACAAAGGTCTATTGGGCATCTACCTATGCCAGACATTGTTCCAGGCCCTGGAGAGACAGTAATCCATAAGACAGACAAGGTCCCCGCTTTCATGTAACTTACATGAAGTGGGGGAGACAGATAATTAAAAGGTAAACAAACAAACAACACACACAAACACACAAACCTAATCGCATGTAGTAACAGATGATGCAAAGAAAATTAAGCAGGGGAAGGGGATGGAGTGTCCCGGGAGGGAGGGCTGTTGTTGAGGGGTGCTAGTAAAGGCTGTCTGAGGAGAGAGAAGTGAGGGTGCAGCCACGTGAAGGTCCAGGGGAAGGTAATTCCAGCCGATGAAAGAGGAGGGAAGAAGGACAAAGGTCCCAGGACAGGAATGTGCATGGCCATCTCCATTCCACCCTGTCCTCCAACACTCCTCATCCCCCAACACAGGAGAAATCAGCCACCTGTGCAGACAAGAGAGCAGGGATGTAGACGGGTCGTTAGAGAGGGCAGAGGTTGAAGATGTGAGGTGTGCAGCAGGGACCCCACCAGAGGCTCCTGGGGCGTCGGAGAAGTGTCTCTAGGCACGTAGCTGTGGTTGTGTCTGAGCACTGACCACGTCTATCACCCACTGGAGAATCCAGACATCAGTCCCGGTCAGTAGGGCACCACCAGGCTCCCCTGGTCCAGCCCAGGTTTACCTGTGGCTGGTGGTACGGCCCGAGAAGGAGGCATTGGAGCCCAGCCCCGGCATGACATCCACCCAGGCCAGCGCTCCCCTCCAGACAAGAAACCACGAGGAGGCGTGTTTCCCAGTCGTGTCCTCAATCCCACCTCCCCACTCTTCTCCGAGTCCATCAGTCATTGAGTCTCAGTCAAGAAACATTGAAGACCTGCTGTGTGAGTGCTAGACGCGTTGTGGAGAGCAAGAAAGGCCCAGGAGGGCAAGGGTGTGAGGCCGGGGGTGAGGACTGGCTAAAGCTTGGGGTGGTGTCAGCAGAGACATGAAGGGGGAGGGCGTGAGCTGCTGCTGACAGCCATCTAATCGCCTCCACTAAGCAGCC